CGCAGGTTTCAAAGCGGCAAGCTGTTTGCAGGCGACTCGTCGTTTTTTTGCTTTGGGTAGAAATCGATGGGTTCCACTGGTTTTAGATCTGCATTTCATTTACTAGGGAGGAAATTCATTCTCTCAGCTATCTCCCTTTTGGCTTGAATAAAAAAGAAACCTGGATGCCCAGCGGGGCACCCAGAGGGTCCCTTGGTAATTACGCCATTCTTACGGTGGGTTTGGTTCAAGGGAATTCGTAAGATAGAGATCGCGCAAATCTGCAAATATCAGGTACCAAGGGACCCTTTGAGAGTTGATTTGTTTGAGTCACGGTGGACTTTAGAGGACATCAAGTACGAATCCACCAGGTTCAATCCGGGGTCGACAGTACAAGTTTCGTTGTATGTGTCAAAACAAGGATTTGGACCCGAAATCGTGTTTTTTACTCTTGGAGTTCTTGCAGACTAGCCTAAGGAGGGTACAACTGGCCTAAATAGCTTTATTGTTTTAGTGATTCAATCCTTCCAAGTGCTTGGTCCACACTTATCCCCACCAAATGATGTCCACGAGAGGGTCCCAAGTTGAACTTGACACCCAAATGCCCCAAAAGTTGTGTTCTCCCTGTTGGTTTCACTTTAGGTGGTAGCCACCGAAAAAGCACACATTTGAATCGACGCAAGGAGTGGGTTTTGGGCGGCGGGGTTCGACATAATTTTTGTCAGGACTCTCTTCGTGAAGGAGGGCAAAGGCCTGACGACGGCTCAGATGGCCACGTGGCAAAAGCTCAGCAGGATTATCATTCCAGGCTTTCTTAGGTGGTGTAGGATTTCGTCCATCCACAGCAGGAATTCTTCCTTTTCCATTCTTTTCAACCGTCGTTCTTTTCAACAACCAGCTGTTTCCTTTGGGTTTTTGATGGTTTCCTGGATTAAGAAGGATCCCTGCAAACAATGGGGAAGCTTCTCCTAGACAAGCGCTTCGGTGGCCATACAGTGGACGCATAAAATCCTGCAGTTCTTCGGTAGCTTCTCCCAGCAATACGGGTGGTGTGTGTGTGTGTGTGTGTGTGTGTGTGTGTGTGTGTGTGTGTGTGTGTGTGTGTGTGTGTGTGTGTGTGTGTGTGTGTGTGTGTGTGTGTGTGTGTGTGTGTGTGTGTGTGTGTGTGTGTGTGTGTGTGTGTTTTTGGATAGCACTGTTTTGTCGTTTTAAAAGGGCAACCTAAAGGAAACCTTTTTTTGGCGGGGGTGGTCACTTAAAAAACGACACACCCATATTGGTTGATTCGTTCATCCACAAAAGGTAACCTCGAAAAGGCACACCCACATCGTGATAAAATCCAAAATTGCCATGGCCAATTGCTTGAGCCCTGCCCAGGCCCTGTCAAGGCAGCTTTTACCCGTGCACATGCATGGCACCATTGGGCAGGTACTCACAAAAATTGATCGTTGGTTCGGATCGGTGGCATGCTCGCTTCGTAAACCGAGGGCTGTGAAAGAATAGGTTCCATCAAAATATGGCTTGGTAGAAGGGGGGACTCAGAAGTGTCAGCCACAAGAAACAGAGTTGACATCGCCCGTTGTTCCCATGTGCTTTTGTTTGGTGAAACAAGAACCAACTGTATCATTTCTTGTTTGGACCAGCCTGAAACAAGAGCTGCGAAACTTGCTTGAAATGGAATAAAACTCAGCCGCAAACGAAGCTGCAGCCAGATTGGACACCCCTTGTTGGGTGGTTTAGAAGGAAAACTCCTCGTGTTCATGTGTGTGTGTGTGTGCGCCTGTTTTTGAGGGCGCCCTTGTTGGGTTTGGTTTACAAGGAAGCCAAAAGAGCAACTCCCCCTCAACATGTTGGGATCCCCCTATTTTGACACACGCACATAGCCAGGCTTAACTGAGCTTCAGAAGCTCTGTGTGGTTTCTGGCATTTCCATTTAGCCAGAAAAAAAGAGGGAGTCTGGCGATCATTGTGGGATTCCCGGGACCTTGAGTTGTGACCCAGCCCATGTGGGAGTTTCTCCAAATGGGTGTGGCTCAAAATTAAACAGAAGGGGCAAACCGCAGGCTTTGGTCCATGTTTCCACTTACCAGGACAACCCATTTTGGAATTCCGGTTTTTTGAGCCTCAGCCAAATTGGTGACCCTCCAATTGGCGGTTTCCTTTTGGTTTCCTTTTGAAGCCATCAACAGGGGTCCAGTTCCTATTTGAGACGCGATGAGAGAAATCCGCAGGAGCGCCCTTTGAACTTGTTTGAGAGTTCGTTGGCCACCAGTCATAACTCACCAACAAGGTGAACTCCACTGAATGGTGGAATACAGGGGTTGCAACTTGGGCTACGATCACGATTTGCTTCCATTTGTTTAAGAACATGTTGTTTAATTTCTCCTTTGGGTTGTAAACAGAATCGATGACTACTGGAAATATGTTTTTTTGCAGGGGGCAAAAACGCAAATGGAAGCTTTTTTTTGAACCGCGTCCATTTCGCGCACAGGTTTGTTCCTTCTTTCTTCTGAGGACCAGCTTCGGTGCCTTGCCCAGGGAGCACCACCTCCCTCAGGCCAAAGCCGAGACTCGAGTTGGGTATGGCGTTCCCACAGCTTCGCTTCGCCTGGGAGGCTTTTGGCCAACCCTTTTCGACCATGTAATGTTGACCCAAGATTAATAAGCCCCAGTTTATTAATATGGGGGTGCTTTTCCCTGGTTGTAGTGGGGATTCAGACCACTTTTGGAGGGGCCCCCACCCCCATATTAAGAAACAGGGGTTTATGAATCCGGGGTCAGCATTACCTGAAACAAGACACCTCTTATCGAGGTTTGGAACCCTCTTGGCCTTTTATTTGGAGGCACAAATTCTGAACATCCACCGACAAAAAGTGGTCATTTCCGCAGATTGCAGGTTGCGGCGCGATCTGCACGATCCTTTGATGCACTCTGAGAGTGGGACTGGGGTCCCTGCAGGTCGCTTTGGAAAGGTGGGGTTCCACTCGTCTCAGTTTGGTTTGGTTCATTGATTGGATTTGTTGGAAAAGGACACCTCACACCCATTGACCCACGAGTCAACTTGCGGATGAGTGTTCACCGCCAGTCCCTGGATTCTTTGGGAACTATCTTTGCACGTCTCAAAGTTGTCGGGGTGGAGTCCAACCATCAACCAGTCTGGGCCCAATTCCAATTCCAGAGGAAACGGGGGCTTGAACCTTCCGGAACAAGAAGCTCAAGGACTACTTTGGTGGATTTTGCCAAGGGCTGTTAGGACTTTAACTTTTTGCCAGATAATGGGTTTTCCGTATTAAACCAAAAGTTAAGCGGAGCAGAAAGCAACCGAGCATCGGTTGATCAGAACGGTCCAGTTGACTCCCCCCCGAGAAACGTGCCATGGACCCTTGTGGGGGGTCGAACTCGGGAAGTGCAGCTTCTCACTGGCGGTTTGCGCAGGAATAGCTAAGCCAAGGCCCACCAAGGGCCTCTTCTTCCATTTGTTTAAGAGTAGTTGTTTCTTTTCCCTGGTTGGTTTTAAAAGGAATCTATCACTGCTGGACATTTCTTTGTGTTTGGCCAGAGGGCCTTGGCTAAAGCAAATGGAAGTCTTTGGCTACGGAGCCTCCCCTCTCATGGACCCCCCAAGGTTCCCTTGTGCAAAAGCCCGGGCTTGACTTCCGAGCCCAATTCGGGATCGCAGTGCGGTCGGGTGTTCCAGATTTGGGCTGCCATTTGAGTCACACTCCAAACCCGGGCAGATGAAGCTTGGTAAGGGGCAGTCTCCTTGCCAGAACTAGTTGCGGATCTCCGGCTTTTCAATTCCTGAAGCATGGTTCTGGGCTCACCATTTGTGTACCGATCGGTTTTGATTATGACTCGTTTCCTCATTCAAACTTCGAGTGTTTTTCGCCATGGAACAAAGATGCCGGTGCCACCAGGCGCAGGCCGCCCTGAAGCTCTTGCCCCTCAAGAGGGCTTGTGCACTACAATAATTATATGGCTGTGGGTCAACCAACGGGATCCCATTTTGGGCTAGGTGAATTCACCACCCATTTTAGTCTAGCGCAGATTGGGATGTTCACTGGGAGTACGGGATTTTGACCCATGGCCATATATACATATACACATAACTACAAGTAACAATATAATTACCAACATAGACACACAAATTGACAAGTAGTTGCAAGTAAGCATACTAGCGGCCCTTTCCCAAAAAGCGAGCAACAGACAAACCCCGTTTCAACCAACCGCATCCTTCAAGTCCGGGCGCACATTGCGTCCCCGCAATTCGTTGCACGCCCGCGGTTTTCACTCGCAACCGGAAAATGGTCAGTCGTTCCGCTGAGCGTTGTTGCTGGTCCGGGCTTGCAGTTGTGTGGAGCTAAGTAGTTGGGCATGTCGATCTTAAAGTTGGGGACCCCCGAAATTGACATGAGTTCCAAGCGGGGTGTCCCTTTCGCAGTCCAAGTGGGCGTACCGAGCCACAAGGAAAATGCACGCTTTGCATACATCGACCACCAAACAACAATAGTCATTCCAATACTGGAAGAGCCTCAAAAGTAATTAGCAACAGCTTGTCTGGGCAACTTGGAGCAACCTCACGATTCGCGGATCTATGATGAACTTTTGGTTCAAATAGGGAACCCTTGTGCAGGGGGGAGTTCATGTAATGGGTCTGTTTTTTGTGCGCACCCTTTTCGGAGTCGGTTTTTGTGCGTACTGTACCCCGAAAAAACATGAAAAATTAAAACAATTGTGGTGGCGCTCAACATTTGCCGCACTCGGCTCTGGCTCGAGCTACAATTCGAGCGAAACCCCGCCGAAACCCCCCTCGCGCAGAAAAGACGATCATCCAGAGCTTGCGATATGCGCGCATTTGTCCACCAAGCTGAACCACGAGCTGCAAATCCGACTCCGCTCTGCAAGTTTACATCCCAGAGAAGCATCTCAAAAAAAAAGAAAAAAGAAACAAACAGGTCGGTAGAAAGAATTGGAGCCGCGCACCTCGCCGAAATGGGAACCGAATCGAAGCAATCCATTCCGCCGATTCGCATCGATCTCGGCGCCCGGATGGCGCGATGCCTTGGCTCCCAGAGCGCCACCTGATACCACGACTGGTGGGCCTCAGCACTACCCTTTGGCTCTGCTGCAAGGCGAAGCGGGAAACTGCAAAGCCAACTGCGGGCTCGCGTTTCTTGGATGCCCTGTTTTAGACGGGTTTAAAGGGACACTAGAGAACAACTGCTTCTCTTCATTGAACCAACACGTAGTCTCAACAAAAAGCCACGCCCATGGGTGGGTCTGTTTTTTAGGGGCCTCCAAAATGGGTTTGCCTTGCCTTTAAAACCACAAAACGGGAGTACCAACTCCGAAAAGAGAGACACTCATATCCACTTGGCTAGCCGACCTTTTACTTGTTGCAAAGCTGTTGGGTCGATGTCGACGGTTTTGTCAAAAGACTTGCCTTACCTGGGACCGGCCAGAAAGATTTCACATTTGGACAAGATTGGAGCCAATCCTAGGTTTGGCAAGTACTTTGTTCCATTTGTTTTGCCTACATTGCTCCCTTGTTGGTTTAGAGCCAAATTCAGTAGTCACCAAAGGTCGGATTGAGGGCTAATTCTTCGCCAATGCGCCGGGATCTCACCAACCAGAGAATGTGGGCAGTCTGCGAACGCGAGAAAGCGGTAATTGGGGCAGCCATCCAGCGCGTGTGCTGGAACCCGCACGGGACCACTGACACCAAACCGACTCACACCAACTGAGGTAGCTGCGCGGAGGTCGTTCTGAAACTTCCCTTTGGGGTTCCGATCACTAGGAAGGCTGGCAGCCGACCTCCGCCAAACAAAGTGAAAAGGAATTTGTGAATTTGTGTCCCCTTCCTAAAGGGCTCTAGAGCCATTCAATAAACCCGAAGACACCCAGAGACCCAGCGGGTTGCTTTCTGTTTTCTTTTGGAGGGGGGTTTCCCTTCAAACTCGACTGCCACAAAAAGAGAGCCCGTTTTTATCCGTTTTTCCCCAAGAAAACTCCAAGGCAGGTTCTGGGTAGCCTTTTAAGGGTGGTTTTAAAAGGGGGAACAACCAGCAACTAAGTTGGAAGTATGCATTTCGGCGTTTCCCCTAGACAAGCCCATGCAAACCCTTTCTATTTTGTGGATCGGTTCCCTCTGAAATCGACTACCAACAAACAACAAGATGTTTTTGTTTGCTCAACGAAATCGATTTGGTGAGGTGCCCCGGTACCCCTTAGTTGGTAGTTTGGATTGGTGGTTTGGGGCTTTGAACCTCATCTCCTTTGAGGCATGGGGAAGGTTCCCCCCTACCGTCCGAACCACCACACCACCAAGCTTTTTGAGGGTCCCCGGATTTTGGGGGTGGTTTGCAATGCACCAAAAGTTGAAGCCACCCTTGGAGTGGTTTACACAAAAGGGACCAAGGACAACCCACCCATGTCTTTGTTGACACTGCCAAAAGTTGGCGGCCATTTTTTGGGGGTGGTTTCTATATGAAACAAAGGATACCCCAGTTGGGGGGGGGGAGGGCCTGCCAAACTGCAGGCCTGTTGCAAAACTGCAACCTGCCAGGGGTGAGGGTCCAAGCAAAATGTTCAACAGTTGGCCACAATCTTTTTTTTTGTGGGGTGGTCCAAGCAAAATGTCAAAAAGTTGGCAGGTTTTGTGGGGGGGTGGTTATGAAAAGGACAGGTTACCCATTTTGGGACCCGGCGGGGTCCAAGAGGACGAGCTCCGAGCCCATGGGCTGCAGGTGGGCTCCTGGGTGCGTGGCCTGGGGCGTCTGGGCTCGCTGCTGCTGCGGCTGCTGCGTCCAGGCCGGCTCTGGCGGTGCCCGGATTATGGGCACCTCCTCATGGTGCCGCTCTACCCAGGCGAGAGCTGAGTCATTTTTTTCGATTTTTTGTGGGTTGTTTGTTTGTTGGATAGGGTGTTTGTTGTTTTTATTCTTGTGTGTGGTGGTTTTTGGTGTTGCTTTCTTGGTTGGATTCGGCGATTCGGCCGGATCTCCCAAGTGGACATGAGGATTTGTTGAAAGGATTCGGCTCGGTCTCCGTGTACATGAGGATGTTGTTTAAAGGATTCGGGGCTGCGTGTCGCAAGGTGGGCATGACTCCCATGGCTGGTCGAACATAGAGTAACCCCGACTGGGCCGTGGGTCAAACAAAGTGTGGATGGACACAATCCGATTCGCACCGGTTGGCATGTGGTTGATCAGCGAGTATTGAAACTGGGTTTCATCCATCCCCAGGATTTGGTCCACCCACAGTGGGTACCCGAAATGGGCAGCCCTGGTCAGGGACTAAAACCTGCTGTTTTTTCCAGGTGGTTTAATTTTGAATCACAGGCGCGTAGCCAAAAGACATGCTTTGTTGGTAGGTTTCATGTAAATCTGCTTTTTGAAAGAATGGGGCTTTAGCCCTAAAGCCCAATCCTTAGGCTCCATTTGATCTGTCTTCTCGGCAATATGTGTTTTCCTGTCTGCGACAGCTCTTCCAAGCGGCAACTTAAACAAGTGCATGGGCGTAACATGATGGTGTGTTGCAGGACCTCATACCTCAACCTTGCAAGGTGACTTTCGGGCAATGAACCAACCAGAAAGCTCATCCGTCTTGCCCGTTTCGCCTTCGCTCCAGCTCCGGCGGCTGCAGTCAGGGCACGCCATCGACACCTGCAGCCATTCCCGCCCATGTCCCACGCCGGGTCCATTTTCAGGGGCGGAATTGGAACTCAACTAGGGCGAGGCGCAATCACATACCCCCAGAATCCATTGGAGGTAAGGCCCAGGGAGCGCACAGAAGTAAGGATTTGTGTGGCCCTGTGGCTAGGCTCCATCCTTCGGTTTTCCCTTTGAGACCATGCATAGGTGTCTTAGCTTAGTTTGGTTTAAAATGGACGGGTTCCGCTGGTGTAGATAGGGTTTATGAACCATTGTTTTCAAAAGGACGGCTATGTTCATATGGGTGTGGCTCCAAATTAAGCAGGAGGGGTTAATTACGCAGGTTTTGGTTTCCATGTGTCCACTTACCAGGGCAACCCATTTTGGGGACTCCGTTTTTTTTGTTGAGCCGCAGCCATGTGACACATCAGCTTCAGTCGAAGCTTCTGCCAGGTAATCCCCCCTCTACGGAGGCAGCACAGGGCGCCCAGCGCCTCGCTGAGGAGTGCGGAGTGCGGAGCGCAACGTGATGCAACCGGGGCGACCGCAGTGGAAGTCGGGTCCAGGTGTTCACTAAAAAAAGAAAAACATGTTTTTGGGGGTTCCCCCCCCCGTAGTTGGTTTGTTTGTTTGCTTTCAGACACGTCCTTATGTTGATTCGGGTTGTAAGCGTCCCTGTTGGTATGGTTGCTTTCTCCTTGTCGATTCCGCCAATTTCCCTTGTTGCTGTGCGGCCCCCCTTGGAAAAGACAACCCTGCCATTTCCTAAATGCTAGGTTGATTTATGGGGTGTTCCATTTCAGAGTGGACTCCTCGTAAAAGTGGAGGAGTTGCACTTCCATCCGTGAGACGTATTCATTGGAGGTCGACATGACCTTGCAGTAAACATCCAGATGTCGTGAACGTGTCCTGAAACCACAACTTGGTTACTGTAAGTTTGTTGTCTAGGCATCCTGAAAGCGTCTTGAAAGATCGGTTCTTTACTGTTGCAAGTTTCCTTACTGCTGAACAAATGCATGTGTGCTCAGCAAGTGGAAGGGCCCCAAACTAGAGCCAATGATTGAACTTGAAATCTGATGATTCTCCTTTTTCTGTGGGTCTTTTTCATGTGGTTGGATCACCCTTTGTGAAAAGTTGGGCTTCCAAACCCTTGTCAACCTTTCTTAAACTCGCTGAAACCTTTCCAACACCATACAAACATACAAACACCCCCTAAACCTTCCTAAAAGCCCTTAGCAAGCCCAACAGAACCCTTACAGCTTCTTCAAACTGCCCGCACCACCTCCAACAACCCGCCCATACACCATGACAAAGCCCTTCTCGCTTCCTCAGTTTCTGGGCGCTAGTCATTTTTGGATTCATTTTGGGAAAAGAATGTTCGACTTGTGTCGCACGTCTCATAAAGTTCAGGTACCAAGTTGGTGGCTTTGGAGCTTGAGGGTTTGAACCCCGGGTCCTTTTGGCAAATCCAAACCAAGCGAACCCACCAAACTTGATATAAAGCCTCTGTCCTTTTTGCGGAAAGCTGAGTTGAAGTGAGGCAACCCCACACATCCAAACCACCCAACCAAACCGCCAACTTGATACACCAAACAACAAACCCTTTGTCCAAACCCCTAAAAACCACCAAACCGCCCAACCAAACCAAACTGAGCCACGTAAACTTCCCGTTGCACCACCCCCCCAAAATCAAAAAACGCCCCGCAAAGAAAAGCCCCCAAACCGCTGGTCCCCTCGTTCAACTTTTCGCGCGACCGCTCGCGCGGCGCGAGCGCCAGGAGGCGCTGCAGCTCGGCGGCCCCGAGGCCTTGCAGAGGCTCGGAGAGGCCGTGCTGCGGCCCGGCCGGGGAAGCGGACGCGGCGAAGTTTTCGGCGGGGAAGCGCGTGGCTCCGGTTTTTGTTTTAGGGGGGCCGGTCAGTTTACAGGGAGTCAACCAAAAATGGGGCCAGGTGAGTTTTTGTTTTTGAGCTGGAAACCCCTTTTTGTGTGGTTGTGGGATCCCATGTTGGGGTCGCCCAAACCGACACATCCAAAGAGTCCAGGTTGGTTTTCCGAAGAAAAGGCTCGCCGAAAATCCAAACCGCAAAAGCCGGGGCAAGTGTTGATTGAGGCCCTGAACCCGAAGCAACTGTTTCCCAAACCATGTCCCATGCGTAGACCTACTCCAAGGAGGATTGGAATCTGGGTTCTCTACAATCAATGTTATTTGCTTGTTGTGTTGTTTTGTTTTGTTGTTTTTTCTTGTTTTGTTTTTTTTTTGGGTGGGTGGGGGGGCGGGGGCAATATTGCCCAAACCACAAAGGGCCATGTTCGTGTGTTTCGGCCAAGTTAGTAAGTGGTTGGTCACTTGCTTCGGACGACTTATAAGCTGGCTTCGCCCAGGTTCCGATCACTACCTACTAACTTGGCCAAACACCCAGTTTTGTGGGGGTGTTTCAGTCCTTTTTGGCTCACGTCCTTCCACTCTTAAGCTGTTCCTTCAGGCGGCAAGTGGGGCTGTGCTTTTTGAGGGTGCCCTTGTTTCGGTTGAAAGGGAAGCCAAGAGACAGACAGATTTGCTTGTTTTTTGTTGGTTTCCTACTGTCCGCTTGGAAGCAGGAACGTGGAATGTGGATGATATATCGAGATTTGAGACCAACCATTTTTTTGTTCCCTTGCACCTGTTTTTTCAGAAACCAGCGGGACAACCACGTAAAAAAATGTTGAGCAGGCGCAGATGAATTGTTGGGACCAACCCACTCACTGTAAGGGCCTGAAGAATTAGAATGGGGTTGTTGGGTACTTCAAAACCAGTTTTAGTCAGAAGTCTAATTTGTTCCCTTCACAGAAATCAACAGACATCTGCCTATGTTTTCAGGTGTTACGACCAACCCACCTCATTCCTCCCTTTTTTTGGGGGGCCTTTCTCTTTGGGTGCAGTCCTCCCTGGATTCGATCCGAGGCTGAACCCCACTGACGCGCAGCTGTACCTCGCCCGCGCCAAGCTGTCGAGCAAAGTCCAGGCGCTGGACGACGCGGAGATGTGCGTCTCCATCGACGCCAAGAGCGCCGAGGGCTGGCTGGAGACGCCCGAGAGGGGATTTGGATGTCGGATGTCATGGGGAGTTCGCGGGAGGGGGGGGGTGGGGGGTGGTACTGCCTGGTTTCTTGGAGTTAGATGTTGGACCTTGTTTACTCTGGGGCCAACCACCTCCCCTCACACAGCCGGGGAAATTTGGCATAACTCAGACCGATCTTAAACCACGAGAAAGGGGAGCACTGGTCGGATGGACAATGCGACCACTTTCTTGCCGGACCATTGGAGGGCTGATGAACATCCCAAGGCTTTCGCCAGCGCCCAAAACCCACATGAGCCACACTCAAAGCCAGGGTAGATGAAGGTTAGCAAGGGACAATCCCCTTGCCATAAATAGCTTCGGAAATCCGCCTTCTGAATTCTTGAAGCATGGTTTTGGGATTACGACCATTTTTGATCCAGGTTTTGATTATTACTCACATTTTCAAAACGGGGTTCACATCCAATCCACAAGAAAGGAGGGATGGGTGTGTGTGTGTGTGTGTAATGTTCAGTGGGAAGTTTGGCCCGGCAGCTCGCAACATGCTATTTTTACGTTGCCGGCGGTTCACTTGTTCTACAGACATACTTCAAGAACATGATACCTGTCGTGTATCTGGTATGACCCACCGACCCCTCAAATCACGGGTAGGTCTAAACCTCGAGTACTCATCTCCCAAAAACCCCAACGGAAACAGACGGACAAGCCCCGGATATGAACCCCCGCCCCCCCGGGATCTCGGAACCAAACTGGAAAACCAATCTCCTGGAAGATGGCCACCCACGCACAAGTATTGCTGATTTCCTGAGTATTTTGTCACCAAATTGTGATTCACAACAACTCTTCAACAACCTTTGTATATTCCATATGCACATGTATTATGTAGAGTAAACATATACATCATAATATACAAAAAACTATATACACTGTATAGTACATACATACATACATACATACATACATACATACATACATACATACATACATACATACATACATACATACATACATACATACATACATACATACATACATACATACATACATACATACATACATACATACGGTATTAGTACAATATATATATATAATCATATTCACATACACATCCCAGGTATGGCCCCACCTGAATGTCCCTCCCTCCCCCCCGCATCGACTCCCTCAGGAAGGGCAAGGCGGAGTTGGCGCTGAGCCGCTCCATCGACGCCGCGCAGAGCTTCACCGCGGGGCTGCAGCTGGCGCCGGAGGACCCGCAGCTGCAGAGGTCCGTGCGAGTCGGTCGGGACGGGGAAGCGTGGGGGGCGGGCCCCCGTTGCGTTGGTTTTTTTTTTGGGGGGGGGCCGGGGGAAGCGTGGGGGTTTTAAGGGGAAGCGAAATTGCTGCTGGGCATATGTTCTCTCTTTTTTTTGTTTTCGTCGGGGGGGCCCGGGGAGGTGAGGAGTGAAGTGGGTGGGTGGGTTGTCCTTTTTCTTAAGAGTTTCCCCCGTTTCTTGTTGGTTTTAAAGGGAAGCCAACGCAAAACCGAAGCCTTCTTTTGGGGGGCGGGGGGCGGGGGGGGGCTTCCCTTAAAAGACAAGACACGCGTACGCCTGTGTGGATCCCATGTCCCTTTTGGTGTGACTGCCACACCCATGTAGCTGCGTGACGGTGCGGCCGAATGGGAAAATTCGCAGATGGCGGGTTTCCGGAATTTCCAGAAATGGGCTGAAGCAGATTTTGATAGCCATGAATGTATAAATATGGTTGTGGCGTTTGTTTTGTTTGAGTTGGTGCACCTCTTCGTGGGGGTGAAGGGAAACCAAAAGAGAAACCACAATTTTGGGGGGATCCCCTGCAAAGGACAAACTCTCATGTGCTGCTAAGAAAACAACCCAAAAAGGCCACCCCTCCCCCCCAAAAAAAAGGGAAGAACAAACCAAGAGGAAAGGACAGGATTGGAGATTTCTTGAATTCTTCTCAGAAGCCAAACGGAGTAACAACCCGGGTCAAAAATTAGTCAAACCGGTTCATTGGGGGTGCTCCCTCCAAATGTGATGAATCCCCACTAAAAGGGGACATTCCCCGAACAAGATCAACCGGGGGATTATGATTCTGGGGTCAACACTAGCGACTTTTGTTAGCCCATGGAACCCAAACAATCATCATGTCCAAGGACCATGGCTTCCCAACCATGAAATCTCCTTGTGGGGAAGCCCCTTCTACCAGGTGTTGGTTCCATGCCAATAGCAGATCTGTGATCCTTTGAGCACGTCAGACTCTTTGCCGTCGAAGCGATTTTGGGAAGCGGTTGTTTTCAAAATTCACCACTACAAGAAGGAAGAAGGGCACGCCTTTTGTTTGATTGTGAGGGATGAGTTTATGCCATGAATTAATCGACGTCAAATATACAATATCAACAACCAACGATGTGTAAGTGGAGATCCGTTTGGATTTCAACTCCTTCGTTTCCTTTAAGCCACCCACCAGTCGAAGATTTCCCCGCTTTACCTGGCCGTTTGCCAGGTACGCAGCCCTGCGGGCGGAGCCAACGCCCAACATCCTGCAGCAGTTCAAGGAAACGTTTTCTGAGCCCCAAACAACCTGCGCTCCTGGGCGCCCTTGAAGTGAACATCTTCCGGGGTTCTCAAAAAAACATGTTGAGGGTGATTTTGAAGGATGTCACTTGAGCGAGCTCGATACTCTTTGGTTTCCTTTGGAACTTTGGTTCCGCTGTCCATCGTGTCTAGGCCAAAACGGATTTAATGTCTTAACTGTTTTTGGACGGAGACCAGAGTTTTGTTCCTTTTGTGTTCGTTTCCTTGGGTTCCAAGTGCGTTTCCACAATTTGGTGGGGGAGAGGGGTTGTACCTTTTGGGTGGGGGACCGCTGGGGGATTTCCACATGAGAGGCCCGGGTTTGCGATCGTTTCATGGAGTTGTTCGGGTGGCGAAACCCCAAATAAAGATCAACCAGCCGGATTGTAAAGGCGTGGGATGGGCACGGGATGATCTTGTTTTCAATTTTTAGGGGTGTTGGTGAGGCATCTTCAACATCGACAAATAAAAACACATCAGGATGGGATGTTCTCTTTTCCAACGTTTTGGTGGTGGGGAAACACCTTCCAACTCGTTTCAGTCAAAGAATGGGTGACGTTTGAAGGGATGGGTAAGAGGGCATCGAAACGGTGCTTTTCATATGGGTATGGATGGCATGGGTATGGCGGCAAAAATGCACCAAAACACACCCTCATATCTTTGAATCATGCGTGGTTATGCCAGGTCCCAAAACCTAGCCCCCCCCCCATTGGCACTAGCGGTTCCTTGAATAGATCTTCCACCCAGCAGGCTGCCTGTTCAGGCTGTGTGTTGGGAAGAAGAGCAGAAGGGCGGGGTCTGGCAAAGCAAGCGTCAATCATCAGTGTTGCCCACCACACACAGACACATCGGAACGGAGCATGGGTCAAGGGAACTTTGGGGATTTAGTCAAGAGAAGCCAAAAGGAAACATGGGTTAGTCAAGGCAAGCCAAAAGGGGCCAACGGAGTTAAAGAGAACGCTGGCCACTAGTCAGGTGGCTTTCCCCCTTGACATGTTTCAGAAAAGAAAACGGGGGTTAACACGCAGACACTAAATTCATGTCGATGTCCTTGACTACAAGTACTTGGATGGCACCTACGCCTGATTTCAGCTTCATTCTAGTTGGGTTGGGTGTGGATTCCCATTTACCTTCTACAAGATCCAGGGCTTGAAATCCAAATCCAAACCACCAACTGGGTCTAGCCTGATGATTTCCACCAAAAAAGACAAACAAACATAAACATCACCACTTGGCAGGCGGGGAACCAGATGATTTAGAAGCCACGGCAGGATCTCTTCTTCACCGCGCGGTTGGGCCTGGAGAATCTCTTCCGCACCCTGGAGGAGCGCTGGACGCGGTGGAACAAAAAAACCCGGAGTCTCCTTCTGACCTTTGAGAAATGGGGGTCATTACCCAAAATTATGGGGTCATTAACCCATTTTTAAAGGGTCATGGAGACTTCTCAGGTACATTATAGGTATCCAGGGGATGATTTGTTTTTCATTATTTTCAGTTCTTTCCAAACACCGGATCCGTGTTCCCTCGGTTTCAAAGGAGGTTTTCTAGAAAGGATCCCTGGAAAGAATGGGGCAGGTACCCCTAGAACATGTGGTCTTTGAGAGACGTGGGTATGTATCAAAATAGAAAAAAACCGCAAACAGATAGGCGGTTGTTCCTTTCAACCAACCCGGACAGTGGCACCAAGCCTTAAAACACACACACACACAAGCACACACAGAAGGCTGCATGCCAAGAGCGTGGGTTTCGAGCGATCCCAGCAAGAGCGGGGCTCTGAGGGCGCAACCGCATGAAGGTCCTTGGACTTGGTCCATGTCTTATGTGTGAAGTTGCCCTTGTAGGATATGGGTGCATCCTGTTTTTTAGAGGACCCCTCCAAAAAAAGGCGCTGGCTTCTTTTTTGTTTTGGGCTTCTTCTTTTTTTGTTTTGGGCTTCCCTTGAAATCAGTTCCAAAAGAGGTACCCTCAAGAAACGCACACCCATACACAGCTTTGAGCCACCCGTGTTTCAACCGTGCAGGCCGGCCATCAAAAACCTGTGCGGAAAGCTCTCCGGCCGTTTCATTCCAGGCTTTGCTTGTCACTCATTTCCGGGGCTAAAGCCGTGTCACTGGGTTTGGCACAGCCCATTGGAGACATCTAGCCGGCCAGTTCTATGTGAGATTCCTGCAGATGAGGCGAGGCTTGCGGAAATCTGGAAGTTTCCTCCAAGAGAAGATCCCTTTCTCTGAACATGTTAGATTGTAAGGTTGACTCAATATGAAGATGAAACAGCATCTCAACATGTCTTTGGTGTATCTTGGGGTTGCCAAGTTTTGGGCTTAACAAACGACATGGAAGGGAAACAATCCAACATGAATGAAGTATGGAAAGAGAGTTGTGGAAATCTGTCCTCCAATGGTCACCCCGGCAATGGTGCCATGCCTTTTCGGTGGGGTCATGTGTAGAGGGGAAATACCAGAGCAAACCAATCAGAACCCAGGGATCGAACTAGGGGGAGATTTCTCCTTATGAGCCTATGATTAAGTCATAGATCCCCTGAAGTTGCAATCCGCGGTGTCTGGTTTCGTTGGTGTTTGCTCCTTTGCTTTCCTTTTGGGTTCAGTTGTAAGGGGTTTACCATTCTGTCCGGGGCTTGTTATCGGATCTTGGGATTCCGTTGTTCTTTTGGGTTCACGGCGAGTGTCGTGTCCATAGCTTCAACTCTTCCCTTGGCGATGATGAAGCCACCCAAGATTTGGTGAGCCTCAACCAACGTTGGAGTACATGCTGTTCATTTATTTGGCTTGAATTTCTGAATCTTACCTATTAAAAACACAACTTTTCAACTTTTTGGGTAACATGGGCTATATGTCTGTTTTAGATTAACTTCCCCAGGGCTTCGAGTTTTAAGGGGTAAGGAATGGCCGCCCCAGATTTGGAGAGATCCCCTGGGCAAAACGCGCCCATGGCCCACCCGTTTTGGAGCGCAGGACCCCACGAAGACCAACGACGCCTTTGTGGAGAGCGGCCTGGCCTCGGTGTTGATGGACCCGCACCCTGAGGGCCCCAGCGGGGAAGGCTACGCAGAACCCCCGAACCAGGAAACATCTGCGGGTGTCAAAATGGCAGTGGCTCAAAAAACCGGAATTCCACCATGGCTTGCCCTGCCAGGTGGAAACATGGGTTGCCAAAACCTGCGGTTTGCTCCTCCTCCTTAATTTTGAGCCACGCCCAAATGTCAACCAAACCCTCATCCCCAAAATGGCCCAAGAGTTGATATGTGTCCACCCGACGGCCGAAACTGGCATCCACCTTCTAGGCCCCAAAATCAAAAAATCCGAATCCCGTGCCGATTAGTTCGATCAGTTCGAGGAGTCCCAAGTCAGGAATTCATCAGGTTCCTCGGGGCAGAGGGACACCCCACCTCTGAGGTCTAGGTTTAAACCGGGGGCTCCTTAAGAGAAATTTCCAGGTCGCAACCAGTTGAAACATGAATTGCTTTTTCAGCACCGAAATAAAGGGAAACCGCCGTTTTTTACAAGGCAATGTTCAGGTGTATAATGTAAGGATCCCTGTTAAAGGGATAGTGTAAACTCCGGATTGGTTCAGCTGATTGATAGGGTGGTCGCAGAAAGCCGGAGGGCGGGGGGCATAGTTTCCTCCTTGGCAAAAGGCTTAATCAGGGAACATGCAACTCCAAACAATAAAGACCTTATTTGGCCTGATGCTGAGGGGCGGGCCTTCTGGGAGAAGGAGTAGTAGAGTCCTGATTCAAATTCCTGCAGGTCAAAGATCCGCCTAGGTAGCTTGATTTGGGGGCTCTCCTGAATTGAGGAGCTGAAACCTCAACCTGCGGTTCCGGGTATCACACTGGGAATCAATCCCTCATCTTGCCATCTTGCTGGTTCTCAGTAGTCGTTGAGGGGTTTTGAGATGAACCTGGGGGGGGGGGGTTGGGAACCACCAGTTTATCACATTCCCCACCGCCCTGCCCTCAAAGGACCGGTGCCGCAGCGAGGCAGCCGATTTGGTGCAGAACGATCCCCAATTGTGCTGGGCTCACATTCTCCTAGCAAGGGCACCACGAGTTGATGGATATGCTTTGCACAATTTATAGTGAGGTCACTTGCTAAGGGAAGACAAGTTCACCCATGATGAAGGCCATTTGGGGGGATTCCTTGTTTCCAGTTAGTGATTTACAGCAAGTTGTGCAGGATACATGTATATGCTTTGTTTTATCCAGACCCTGAATTATTGCCCAGCACCCTGCTTCCTTTCTGTTGGAATGGTGCGACAGCAAGCCCTTTTTCCCCCTGACCACTGAGCACGTTGCCTGTCCAAGGCAATGCAGCAGTCTTGGATACGCAGCTCGGCCTGCTCGCCCAGACGTGGCTTGGCAGCATTTGTCTAGAGGTTGGTTGAAGGACCTCCAAACGGACGCCTATGTTCCTGCATCTGTCCTCTTGGTTTTTCTTTGAGACCCTAGACGTAGGGGGGATGGTGGATTCCCTACGCATTACAACTACCAGCCATACTCAACCACACAACCCTTGTAGTTTGCAGTAAATTCCTGGCTTGCCCTTGTTTCTCTGTTGCTTGCAATATTTAGGGCATCCGCCATAGCCACTAACAAAATGACCCGCACTGACTATATGCTGTAGCGAGCCCACCGATCCTCAGCTAAGCAATTATATAGCGAGCGCACCGATCCGGAGCAAAGCGAGGGATTCAGTTTCTTTACTTCCGCACCCTGAGTGGACTTTCAGCTGTATTTAGCGGCAAAAGACATCCGACTTTCGGCCACTCAACTGAGTAACCACAGGACCACGCTGTTTGGGCGTGGCAAAAGGCCGCCTCGAACCGATCTCTAAGGTGGGCCCAGCCCTAAGAGTTGGACCCCCCTCCCAAACAAAGGAAAAGAAGCTGATACGGCATACGGCGATTCTGGTCGTTTCCCTGAGCCAAGTGTCATTTATGGTTTCCCTTGCTTCCCTTGTTGGTTTCTGTTTGTGCCGATCGGGTTTGTGAATTCCATGGGAAAGTGTCAGTCACCTGAGTGCAAGTCTAGGGGAAACTCATTCCTGGTGTTTGTCGCAAAAACAGGGGGTGACCGCAGAGAAAAAATAAGTTGCAAGAATCAACACTCCCCCCCCCCCGCCCACAATAAAAGGAAACAAGGCTGGGCACTGGGTATGGCGCTTTCCCCGGCTGTCCCAACCAAAAATTCCAAGGGCGGCGTTCCAAATCCAATGGGACCGTTAGGACTGATGGCACGGGGTTTGTCTCATGGGAGCTCAGGTGTTCTTGCCTTTCTCCCCTAGAAATCGGCCAATTTACTACAGGGAGTTAACAAAAATGGGGGGCAGCGGTGCGAGTCAGCCCAGGGTGTGTCGTTTGAGGCGACCTGAGACGGGTACGATTTGGGTAGCCTCAAGCAAGACCCACTCCAGGTTGCACCCCTTAAGTAGGTACTGTTTTCCTGTTGGTTTCCCTTTAAAACCCCAAAAGACCCGCCCCAGGTTGCATGTGAACACCTGCGTCCTCTTCGACTCTTCTCGGCTCTGCGACGCCTATGAGCAGATCGTGCGCGCCTGCGCACAGCTGGTGTCCAATGCTCCAGCCTCCTTCTCAAGAAGGCCCTCGGGGGGGGGGGTTCTAACGGAGCGCATGCCGCGGAGTTTCATTGAGCCGTTGGCATCATTGCTAGGTCTCCCAGCTAGGTGCCCCCTTTCTCACCCATTTCTTTTTTGGGGGGAGGGTTCGGGACCCTACTAAAATAGACGACGGAAAAAAGTTGGTACCCTGATTCTAACCTCTCTACTGGAGGACCTAGATTGGCATGGGTTCATTGAAGCTCATTGCCATGAGCCTTTCTTCCCAGGCAATTCTCCTCGCACAGTACCCAAGCAGTGACCAAGACATGCCTTTGAGAGTTCCCAGTCAAGTTCCACGGCAACATGAGAGATGGGAGGGTACCAACAGTGAAGATATGTTTTTGTTTCTACATAAAGTTGTGTGGTGAACGGGCATTTGATTTTGCTCTTGGGCAGCATGATGGGATTCCTCCCACTTTCATACTGGACTCACTCCCTGGACTGGTTTAGACTTTTCGTACTGTTTTCGGGTCCGCACCATTTGCTGGTCTTCAAAAAGTTCCTGGACGTGTAAACGGGCCAATCTGGATCCGAAGTCTTCGCAACTGATTCGAATCAGGAATCAGTCTGCATGTGGCAGTCCTTCAGCTTTTTGTCGGCTTCGAACCCTTCAGTTGCCCTCCCTGATCCAAACGCAAATACCATGTCCCAACGTGCAGGGCGCCTTAAAATAAATTCATTTTGCAACCATTTTTGAAAAACCTGTGGCTTTTTCAACACCAAAATAGAGTTGGACACCACCATTTACAAGTTGCAATGTTCAGGTGGATCCATTGTAAGGATCCCTGTTGTGTTTCTCCTGAAAGGTTTGAAGCTTCAAAACCAAACCAACGTCCAGTGGGAAACCAAAGGAACTTTTCATCACTCTGTCTCGGGGCCCTCAGCGGGAAACCAATAGTGACAAGGGCAAGACATTAAGATCCACCAGCTATGACTGGAGATTTCATGACTTGAATCAAAATTGCCAGCCTTTTGTTTTGGGCAACCAACGGATTTAAGGCTCAGAAGGAGACGAGTCGGCCGAAATTTCAGCCCTGAGGCTCCAGCATGCCGAGAACATCGTCGAGGGCTTGAGCTTGGCCCTGCGCATCGGGTGGCACATCCACCACGGCATCGCTGCTCGGACGAAGGGCTCCCACCTCCACGGCAATCCATGCAGTCGCATGACCCCCCAACAGAAGGGATCCATGGTTGCAAGGAGTTGCACACATCCAGACTTTCAGCTTGCTAACACTGAGGCCGGGCTCACTAGACTCGCAAACAAGTCATTGATTAAGCCATTGTGTCCTTGCAGCCCTTGATGAGGCAGAGCAATTCGCAGAACTTGATGTTGGTCGGTCCCTATTCACCCAGGGGTTCATGAATGCTGGCAATCCATTAGCAGTTGCTTGGGACAACCCTCTCCCCTTTGAACCCTCGTGGTTCCCATGAAGCGAGGAAGATCAAGGCCCCGAGTTCCTGCATTTTGAGCTGTTTGGATCACATTTTGAGTGGCAAACACCAATCCACTCAGGAAGTGAGTAAGGGAGCCACCACGCCTCCCATCACCCGTCCCTTTTGTTCGCTTCGCACAATTTCTGACGCCACCACCTCCATCCCCTTGGATTTTGCACGGAGCTTCAGTAGACTATTTTCCTTTGCGGTTGTTTGGACACCGTGTCGGGGAGGTCCATTTTTGTTGTACCCCAGATTTGGGCCAGGAAAAACAACACGTAGTATTCGGAAGAACATGAAATCACAACCCTCCCCCTTTTCCTGGTTTCCTTTCCCTTCCCTTTGTCTTCAGCATCCCCCCCATGGACTGCGGTGCATGTAGTCTGTTACGCAACAGGACACTCATATCCAACTCAAAACGCGCTAGACATGTCTGACGCTGCAAAAACGCTGTTATCCATTCCCCGCTTTCTGTTTTCCACCTGCATACACCTCCATCCTTCGCTCCCTTGGGCGCGTCCCACGGGAGGCCAAGCACGCGGCCACGGCGCTCATCGTCCTCGCCACGTCCCCCGGCGCCGCGGAGCCGCTGCGGCGCCTCGCGGTGCGGCAGCTCCTCGGAGGCCTCCTCCGCTGGCTGCTGGCGCCTCCGATGCGGGGGGTCGGATGCGGCGGGGAGGGTTGGGAGCTGGGTGGGTGGCTGAACCAGTTGGGAAAAACGGCCCCTTGAAGAACGGCCCGGGTTTTTGGTTTGTTAAGAACTTTGGAGTTTGTGTGTGTTTCTTTGGGAGGTTGGGGATGTTTTGAAGGGGGTTGGGGTTTTGGGAGGGGATGTTTTGAAGGGGTGGGTTTTTGGTGGGTTTCGGGTCCCTATTTTATTGTGTCTCTTAGAGCAGCGGGCCACTACAACACTGGCTGCCGTTCGGTTTGCCTTTGGCTACCAAGAGGAGTCCACTTTTTGGGAGCTGGTACTCCGTTTCAAGCTGGCTTAAAAGACTAACGAAAAGGGCATCCAAAAGAAAAGCGACATGTTTAATTATTTCCTTTTGGGTTGCCAGCTTTGGATAGTTTCTCTCGGGGTGATGTTTGAGGGGGAAACACAGGGAGCCCTGTTTGAGTCGACACTGATGTCAGCCGGTTTGGATGGTCGTTGGGGTGGCACGTTCCTTCTCGTTTCATGTGTTGTCTCTATTTATTTGGGCAGTACCACATGTTTGGAACTTCGCCGTACTAAGGAACAACTCCCTGCTTTTGCTTTCATGAAAGCTGACGACTTGTTGCCCAAAGGACAATATTTTGTTTGTTCTCTCTTAATAACATTGAACGTAAAACGGTGGGGTCTACAATCAAGAAATACAAATATGGAAAAGGGGGAACACTTTCAATGACCCGCATTTACCAGTGTGTTTTGGCACTTGCCGCAATTAGTGTTGCCAGTCTTGACTTTTGCATTGTTGCCCTTTGGGATTTCCCTGGGAACATTCTGCGGCGAGAAGTTTGGCCCAGATGATTGGTAGTCTACTGTTGGCTTGCGGAGGACAAGCGGGGAGCAGCAAAAAAATAAAACAAGAAAAGAAAAGACACAAAAACGCAACCGGTTGTCCCATCAAGTAGTTTGGAAGGAATCCAGCCCCCTCCCCCCTCCCATTCTGTGGGGTGACTGGCCAGAAACCTTCGATCCAAACCCTTAGGGTTCCTTCGATCCTTTGGGCGGGGGGCTTGGTTCTTTCCCTGCAAGGCTACAAAACTCCCAAACTTGCTGGCCAGTGAGTTTACCTGGCGGTGGCGTATGGTGGACGGTTTCAGGTCCAGGTTGCGGCCTTCTTTTAGGATGCTGTTTTTTCTTGGGCTTTTGGCGGCCTTTGACTTTCACCGGCCCCACTGGCCAATTCCTCCCGGCCTCTCCCCCGAACACCTCTCTCAGGATGCGCGCCCGGAGCCTGACCGCGAAGAGGGGGAGGAGATCTGCGGATGCAACTGCCCCGTGCCGTGGAAGGCCGAACGCCAAAGCTCACGGGCACGGCGGCTTCGGTGCCCGGGGTGTCGTTGTTTCATCTACAGGCTGCGAATTGGTTGGGGGGGCCAAATCATCTTTCAGACCGCCAACTTTTTCAGCTTCAGAGCTGAAACGCGGTTTGAGGGCAACCTCGAAATTCAAAAATCGCCTTGAGGGACTGTGCGAGAATAGGCAGTTGGACCCACGGAATGGGCTACGTTTTTTTTTTTTTTTTTTTTTTTTTTTTTTTTTTTCCGGTTTCCCACGGACCCAGTGCTTTTCTTTATTGTTAATGGCCCTAGACGTTCGAAATATGGGCATACCCCGTCTGAGATCTTTTAAATGATACAGCTTGTTGCCAGAAACAAGCATGTGACTTTTGGCTGGAGGCAAAAGCCTGGGTGTTTGGGTTCCGTTTGGGTTCCTTGCTGCTGCAAGTTTCCCGTAGCAAGAGACAAGTTGTCGCAGGTCCATTCATTTGTCCAAATGAGGCCTTTGCAGGCACGTATTCTGCCCTTACTCGGAGAGGTCCTCTACAGAAGTATCCGAAAAAACGACAGACCCACTTCCTCGTGCCAACAACCAGGCTGCCGCGTGCTTCCTGGAGCGTCTCTTTGAGCCGGGGCGGCCGCAGGCACTCGTGCAGCCGCCCGGATTGAAAGTTCAGTTCGGAGGCGTCCAAAGAGCGTCGAGCGTTTCGGGGACCTTGCAGACAAAAATACACCATAAAGAAATATTACAACATATTGTTCATGTTGGAGTTTATTAATTAGATCAACACTAGGTATACTGATATTGGTTGCAACTAACAGTGCTTTTATTAGCATCTCTCAGGTACTGGTTGATGAACGTAGGCGGATCCCCCTCCTCAAAATAGGAATCGAGGGGGGGAAGTACGTAGTGAAACTCCATTTTCCAATTTCAGTGTTTCGTATGGGTTGTCTGAGGTTAGCCCATATGTGAGATAAACTTGGCGAGCCATGACTCCCATCCCAACGAAGAATGCTTGGTACATGGCAGAATAGGCATCAAAAAAACTCATTAGGAATCAATAAAAATACTTACTAGGGATCAATAAGAAACTTGTTAGGGATCAATAAGAAACTTGTTAGGGATCAAACAACTTCTTATCGTTCCTAATCATGGGGAGAAGGAAGGAAGGAAGGAAGGAAGGAAGGAAGGAAGGAAGGAAGGAAGGAAGGAAGGAAGGAAGGAAGGAAGGAAGGAAGGAAGGAAGGAAGGAAGGAAGGAAGGAAGGAAGGAAGGAAGGAAGGAAGGAAAGGCAGGAAGGCAGGAAGGCAGGAAGGCAGGAAGGCAGGAAGGCAGGAAGGCAGGGAGGGAGGGAGGAAGGAAGAAAGGAAGGAAGGAAGGAGAAAGGACTCAAGCAAGGAAGGAGAAAAGGAAGGAAGGAACACCAGGAAGAAAGGAAGGAAGGAAGGAAGGAAAGAAGACAGGAAGTAAAGGGCGGACGCACCCCCCCTACCCCCTCGCTGATTTTTAGAAATCTTGCAGAGACTACCCGCACCCTTGTTGAATCATCACTTGTTCGCACATCATGGGGGGGGCTGCCGCCCCCGCTGATTTTTAGACTGTTTGCAGAGATTGACGCACCCTTTGTTGAATCATCACTTCTTCGATCTTCAGCCAACCCCCCGCTGATTTTTAGAATACTTACAGAGATTACGCACCCTTTGTTGAATCATCATTTCTTCGATCATCATGGGGAGGCCCGCCCCCCTCCCCCTCCCCCAGAAATTAGTTCACCCTTTGTTGAATCATCACTTCTTCATTTTGTTTTTCTTTTTTTCTTTGTTTCTTGCTGTCCTTCTTTCTTTCTTTCTTTCTTTCTTTCTTTCTTTCTTTATGTTTCCTTCTTTTTTTCTTTTGTTCTTTCTTTCTTTCTTTCTTTCTTTCTTTCTTTCTTTCTTTCTTTCTTTCTTTCTTTCTTTCTTTGCTTCTCTCTCTCTCTTTCTCTTTCTCTTTCTCTTTCTCTTTCTCTTTCTCTTTCTCTTTCTCTTTCTCTTTCTCTCTCTCTCTCTCTCTCCCTCTCTCTCTCTTTGTCTCTCTCCTTTCTCCCTTTTTCTGCATGGTTATTTCACTTTCTCTTTCTCTTCATCGCTTGCGAAAGTGCTGCGCCTGCCCCGTACCTTGCGAAAGTGCTGCGCCTGTCGCGAAATATGTACCGTACATTGCAAAAAAGTCGCGCCTGCCGCACAATCTGTACAGAAGCTTGCGAAAGCGCTGCGCCTCCCATGAAATCTCGCGATATCTGTACCTCGCCTTGCGAAAGTGCTGCGCTTGCCATGAAATCTGTACCTGACCTTGCGAAAGTACTGCGCCTGCCACCAAATATCTACCTGACCTTGCAAAAGTGCTGCGCCTACCGCGAAATCTGTACGCCACCTTGCGAAAATGCCGCGCCTGATGCGAGATCTGTATACCAGACCTTGCGAAAGTGCTGCGCCTGCCACGAAACCTGCACCTAACCTTGCGAAACTGCTGCGCCTGCCACAAAATGAAGAAGGATTTGTTTTTGATCCCCGACAAGTTTTTTTCATCCTCTGACTTTTCAGTTTTAGTAGAAAATCTAAGAGAAGACGTTTTTGACTCCTAATAAGTTTTGGTTTGATCTTCAGGAGTAAGTTTTTGTTGATGCCTAAGCTTAGAAGTTTTGTTTGGATCCCTCCCCCGCACATGGCTGGGTAATGTTTAGCGAAAGGGGAAGGCAACTCATAGCAAATGGATGCTACTAAGCACATCCTTTTGCGAACCGGGCTGGGCCCGCAAGTCCGGCCACTATTGAAGATCAAACTTGCCACGGGATATCCCCACCCGAAAAATGAATATGGGGCTTGGGGGGGGGGTCCGGCGTGGAATCCCGCTTTGAGAAGGTTGCGGAAATTGCAACTTCGCCTTGGGGGGGTGGCCCCCCCAAAAAAAATATATGCTGCCCTGTTCAAGACGTTGCGCTGGTTCCACCGTTTCCGTTAAAAAAGCGTGGAGGGATGCATTGAAATAGGAAATCTGAGGGGGCTAGGTGTATTTCCTGCACCTTTTCCAGTTATCCAACCTCCCCCCCCTCATCTTTCATTTTCAGGCGCTCGTTCTACCGCCTTTCCCCTGATGGTCTCATCAATGGCGGAATAGAACCACCTTCCCCCGTGCTTCCATTTTAAAAGTGTTGGAGGGGCGCATGCATGAAAGGAGGGTAGGTGTATTTCCTGCGTCCTGTCAAATTATCCAACCCCGCCCCCCCCCCCCCCCATCTTCCATTTTGACGTGCCGCTTTTGTGGTTCCAGGGGATGCTGATTGTTGCATTTTCTACAGATAGAAACACCTCCCCCCCCCTGGTTTCCATTTTAAAAAGCGTGGAGGGATGCATTGAAATAGGAAATCTGAGGGGGTGTATTTCCTGCACCTTTTCCAGTTATCCAACCTCCCCCCCCCTCATCTTCCATTTTCAGGTGCGGGTTTGATGACAATGCAATTTCCATTACTTCCAGGCCTTTCCAGCCCCTCCAAAATAATCAAAATACTGGTTCCATTATTTCCTCCCTGGAAAGGCATGGAAATAGTGGAAATTGCATGTTCATTCTTCCGGACATTCTAGAAATTGCATTTTTAGGCCTGGAAAGGTTGTTTATACCTGGGCCTGGGTCCTAAGTTTAAATAAAGTCAGGGCTTGTGGACATGACTATTCCGCCTTTGACCTACCCAGCAAAAGGATCCAGCTAGCCCCTCTTAGATGCTGTTCAGGGGTCGCACGTTTTGAGAACGATGACATGCTAAGCCTATTAAGTTGTCTCTATATAATATGTTTACATATATGCCATCTGGGGTTCCCTGTTGAGCACATAATAGATCCAGATTTCCCTTTGGGGTTTAACAATGATTTGTTTCCCTTTTCGTTCGGCACAAATCGTAAGGGTTCGTTACCAATGTAGGCAAACCCATTCGCAAGCTCCTTCCCAAGGACACCTGCTCCCCACCTGACCGGACCTGTTCCCTTCCCACCCACCCCGGGCAACAGTTCGAGAACTCGCCATGTTGATCCCACCCCCGCACCCCCCCAAGCCACCCCGAACTCCAGTTCCAATCCACCCCGAGCTCCCAACCCTCACCTCCACTCCACTGAGGCAAGGGTGTGAGAACGTTCATTTCTACTTCCCCCCCTCCCCCACCTCCAATCCACCCCCGAGCTCCCAACCCCCCCCCACCTCCACTCCACTTAGGCAAGAGTGCGAGAACTGGCCGGACACGGTGCAGCTCTGTCAGTGGCTCACCTTGTCGGTGCGCGACTACCACGCCACGCCTTTGGGCCTCGTGGCGCTGCTGCAGTTCCCCAAGGTGGCCCAGCAGGCCATGCGCTCCCTCGCCAAGGCGCTGGGGGCTAGAAGGTGGCTGGGGGGTGGGGCTGGCTGGGGCTGGCTGGGGGTGGCTGGGGGTGGCTGGGGGTGGGTGTCTAGGGCTGGGGGGTGGCTGGGTGGCTGGGGGTGGGGTGGTTTCTGGGCAGAAACGGGCGGAGAGAACGAGGGAAACAACTGGAAGAACCAGAAGGTGGAGTAGGTGTTCTGGTGGAAGTTCGTCCAGTTTGATGGTGAGCGGTCTGATGGAGATCCCTCTCCTTTCCGCTCAGGTTTTCGCATTCGTAAAACATTTACAGTACATTCCGTTCTGAGTTCTGAACCCTTGAGACGGTGACACCAGGTGAATGCATGCAGGGGTTGAAAGCTGCATTTGGCAGGACAAAAGCTACAATAACACTAAGCTCCGTTTGTGGGGGGTTTGACCAGTAGTTGGTAAAACAAGCAGCCTTAGTTGTCTCTTCGGGGGGCTTGATCCTTTGGGGATGGTTGATCCTCTGAGTCGGGTTCAGAAACCAAGCACCACCAACTTTGTGTTTTTCTTTGTTGCTTCCGTGGAGGGGGTTGACTAGCCTGATCTGGTGTCAGAAAAAGGCATATGATTCTTTGTTTGTTTTTGTCGTGGAGCGTTTGACCTTGTGGACTTTCCACGCGTGGCACTCCAGGTGGATTTCTTCATCGCGCCCCACATCTTCGGCGAGGACTTCGGCGAGGACGACCTCGAGGACGAGTCCGAGGGCCCGGAGGCGGGCGCGTCCGCCGCGCGCGCCGAAGCCGCCTCGAACGGCTCGGAGACTCGTCGGGGGTTTCGCTCGGAGGCTCCGAAACCCGGCCGGGGCCCTGGGGTTCCCCGTGCTTTTCCTCGGCTGAAAGGTAGGGCCAAAGCCCAGAGGTTTGGGGCGGTGAGCCGATGTCAGGGAGTTTGTTTTTTCTTTTTCGGCGGTTGGGGCATACCTGTTTGGGTTTGCAGGTTCTTCAATTGATGTTGGACAGCCGGAGGGGCGACTCGCATGAAATCCAAAATCATCCAGAGCTTGGTGGGAGTTCCCTTACAAGTTTGAATAGATTGAATAGGGATGTCACGTCCACCAAAGGGTACGGGACCGAACATTCACACTGATATGACTTGTTTGTTTGGGGGGAACCGCATGTTGCTTGGGTTCAACGGGAAAGGGAAACGGAAACCAACCATGTTGAGGGCTTGCTCATTGAGACCACCCCCTATGCGGCTATGATTTTTTAGCGATGGCACCACATGGCTGCCCATCCTGGCCGTTGCCTGAATCCCCGCTTGGGTGCTCGGCGAAGTTTGCAAGTTCTTGGTAGCCTGAGTCGTAACTCTAAGTGGACACCTTTATCTACGATACATATTATATATATATGTATATGTATGCATGTATGCATGTATGTGTATATACTTATATATATAGACATATACATACACACACAGACACACACACACACACACACACACACACACACACACACACACACACACACACACACACACACACACACACACACACACACACACACACACACACACACACACACACACACGGTGTTCCCTGCTTTCGCAGCCCGGGCTTTGCGCGAGGACCTGGACCCGGACCTCCCCTGGTGGCGCGCCGCCCAGATGAGTCGCCAACCGCGGGCCTGGCGCCACGTGCGGTTTTTGGAGGCCGCCGCCCAGGCGAACGACGCGACCGGGGGGCGGCTCGGAGGAAGCCAGCGGGAGGGGGGTGAGGGGGGGGGGGTGGGGTGGGGGGTGAGGAGGGGCGGCCAACTAGAAGGATTGCAAATTCAAAGTGGGAGAATTGCTCCAAGTGTGTTTGGTTCAGGGTTGTTACCGTTTTGTTTGGTGGCTGTAGCGGAAAACCAAGAGAAACCCACGATTTAGAGGGTCTCGAAAATGTTTGAGTTGGAGTACACGGGAGCCAAAAGCGACACGAATCAAACATGGCAGGATCCTGATACGTATCCCATTTAAACATCCATTCCTTTAAACATCCATTCCTTTAGGTTGGTTTGACGTTATCAAAAGGGGGAGCCAAAGAATTCCTGGGATCAATCCGAAGTTGACACCAATTTGGCTCTACATCAGGTCACGTCACTATTTCCTGATTTGGCTATTGTTCATTTGGGATTTGTGATATCAACAACTGGGGGACTGAAGGGAGCAAACGATCAAACGGTTTGGGCAGCTGGCCACCAAGTTTGGGTGGCGCCTTGTTTTGGCGTCGTTATTAAGCCAAGCGACCAACCAACCCAATCTAACCGGGTGCAATGTACCGTATGATGTAGCTGTACTGTAACTCACTTCCTGAGAGGCCAAACAAAGTACAAACTGTTTGTTCACAAGCAACTAAAGTCCATCAACTCAGGGAGTGAGGAAGAGACCTTAGGTGCGAAAGGTTTCAGAGCCCGTCGATTCGAAGGTCCTTTGCGAACCTTTCCCTGAAAGGAATTGGGCCCTAGAGAAATGTGTCCCTATCCCAGGACGGCTGTTGGTTGGGTTGTGGGTTGTTCGTTGTGGGTTGTGGGTTGTTCGTTGTTGGTTGTGGGTTGTGGGTTGTGGGTTCTTCGTTGTGGGTTGCGGGTTGTGGGTCGTGGGTCGTGGGTTGTGGGTTGGGTTGTTGTTGTCATCATCCAAGTTGAGTCAATCATTCTGTTCCTGGGAGTTGAACCCTGACTAGTGTTCAGTTTTACCCGTTTTACCTGTCCATGGAAGCTGACCGACTGAGCTAGGCTTCAGCAATGCTTCAGCTGAGGTCAGCGTCTTCAGCCGGCCCCGTGCCGGTTCCGGCCGCTCCTTTTGGGGCTCAGGCGCGAGGGAGTTGCAGGGGGAAGACACGTGGCGCTTTGTGGTAGCCCAAGCTCTTCTACACGTGCCAAATGCACCTCGCACCAGGTGTGAAGTGTTTACTTCATGGGACCCTGAGATTCATGGGTTCTTGATCTGAAGGGTCAATTTAATGCCACCTTAGTGGATTGAGTTCCCGTTCTATTGTCAGTTTCTACTCTCCTGCATAAACCAGCTTAGGAATTTGTACAGGAAGTTTGCGGCAACCCCGGCATGTGGTGAATATTATGTGGTTATTTGTTCATTGGCTGGTTTGTGTGAGTTTCCTGCCAATCTGGATCCCGCACACTCCATGCAGTAGTGTTCACCTCGAATTAACAAACCTTTCGGGTCTGTTTGCCCAAAACGTGAAGGAGCTTCTCTTGAGTCAATCAGACATGCTATGAATCAACCACTAGTATATTATTCTTTGTGGGATCAACATGCGGGCACTTCTGACCGTCCGACAGCATCGAGATACCTCTTGCTGTTTACTTCATATGCCCCCTCAATATACCCTCCTGGAGATGAACATGGAGAACGAGAGATCCATTTTCGGACAAATCTCCGATTTTGAGGAAACTCCACCTTCTTCCAATTTACATGAAGCCGCATGAAGGGAGGGCCGGGACGCGTATGTTGCTCATAGGCCTTGTGGGTTTGGGGAGCATATGTGTTTTTTGTTTTCCCCCGCTGATTCGCGTGGAACACTAAGGAACACTAAATGCATGGTTGTTTAGACAAAAATTGTGTTTGAGTTTCGGCATGTCCTTGGCGGGGGGGGTCCTTTTGTTAATTTGCAGGGAAGTAAGTTTCAGCCACGGCAACCCAAAGGTTGATATAGACGATGCGACTTGTGAAGTCCCACAGTGAGTGATTCCCATCCCTTTGATTCCTGCCAGAAGGCCACTAACAGAAACCCTAAACGGATCTATGAATCGGGAAACAACAGCTCTCAACAAATTATTGAAGAAAACAGGCAAACAACTTCGGAGCAAACCCGAAAACCCATTTTGCAGGAACGCTTCCAAGTTACCCTCCTCCACTGCAAGGAGGACAAAGCAGCTGGAGACATCCTTTACCGGTAAGCTTGGAGCACCAAATTCACAACAATCTCAAAGGGAAACCAAAGTGAAACCAAAGTGAAACCAAAGGAACCGTTTTGAGGGGTTTGTCTCTCAAAACAAAGTTGGTAACTCTCGAAATGGCTTTTCGGTGTTCCTGTTGGTTTCGCTTTGCCAACCGACCATCTCAAAATGAGCCCTCAATATTGTGTTCCAGCTTTCTTTTGGTTTCCCTTTACCAACACACACCTCCCCCCCCAAAACAAAAGAAAGAAAGTATCCCCAACAGCCCCTGGAACCCTCCCTCACAGCTGCCCCAAACCAATGCAGAGCCTATCTGGGCCTCTCAACCCCGTGCATTTGCCCGACCCACCCCCCCTTCCACCCCCTTGCGCAAACTCAGAAAACAAGGCGTCTACCCAGCGCCACTCCAACCCAAGACTGCCGGAGGTGCCGGGCCTGGACGTGGAAGGCCGGGACGCCTCAATGCTGCGGCTCGGCTCGAGTGCAATTCGGTCCCCTCGGACTGGGTCGGTTTTTTTTGGGGGGGGGCGTTTGATTCTTTTGGTGTGTGTATTTGTGTTGCTTTCTTTGTTGTTGGGTTTTTTTGGGGGGGTTGGGGATCTGGGGTTTTGGGGGTTTGGGGTTTGTGGGGGGTTCCCGTTTGCTGAGTCCCTCATTTTTGGCAAACAGGAAGCGTGGACCTTTGTTTGGCCAGTCCGACTCAAGAAGTTGCTTTTTGTGACCATTGGGTTTCCTGGGATTTGTTCCTTTTGTTCCGTTTTGGGGGTGGGGGAAACCCATGGTTTTCCTCAGGTTTAACAGCGTTTATGGCGCAAACTTAGGGGTTTCCTTTCAGGTTTGCCATGGTTCCCCTGCCATTTCATCGACCAAGGCAGCTGTGGTTCATTTGGGCTGTTTCATGGGCACCACCCTTAAAATTCGCATTCGCGGGATCTGTGCAGTTTTGATGGGGCCCTGCTTCAAGGGGATTTGGAGGGGTGGAATCCACACAACTGGGAACCTCTTTGAATACATATGGGGTCCAGTGGTAAAATGATCCTAGAAAGGGTGGGTTACCCCAGAAAATGAGCGGTTTCCCTAGGGTGTCCTCTTTTTTCTCAGACCCAGTGGGGCATGTCCTTTTTAAACTGATGTTCGAAAGCTGTTTAAAATCCAGCAACACAGGTGCCATGTTTCCCGAAAACTCCACCGGACCGGCAGGGGCGGGGGGGGGGCAAGGAAAAAACTTCCTAGCTTTGTTTGGGGCAGCGAACATGTTTTAGTCCTTACGGGATCCCTTCCTGGTGCTATTTTTAGGTTGGCTGGGTCCTTCCACCGTTTTGAGGGTGGGTTGCCTGGGAACCCACAAGGCGTGACGCCTGGTAGACGGAGCTGAGGCGTTGGATCCCGGATCCTCCACCACCGCCCCCGCAGAGACTGGGAGAGTGGCTCATGAACTCCTTGGGCTACCTCTTCCTTTTCATCGAAGGCCACATGTTGTGCCTTCGGTGGTTTTTTGTTTGTTTTGAAAGCTGTGTTGAGGCGATCAACGTGTGTGGTGTGTGTGTGTGTTTTTGTTGGTTCTTTGTTTGGGATTTTGTTTTGAGAGCGGGGGTTGCCAAAGTCTGCTAGCATGTTTCTGATCTTTGGCCATTTGGGTCCACCCAGGAAGCAAAGGTCGGACACATGGATAACACTTTTGGTGTTTGTTTGTTTTGTTTGTTCTCATGGGTTTCAACACAAAGGTTTGACGCATGCCATGGGCGGCTTTGTTGTAGCCATGGGTCGAAGAGGAGGCGGCTTGCTAGTATTTAAGTATTTGACGCGAAGGTGTGACACAACTTCTCACAGGTTTGGTTAGACTTTGGGTAGGAAAGGTGATCCTTGTTTTGTTGGAATTCAGCTATGATTTTGAGTAGGTAGTGCTTGGTTTGCTGTTGGTGGCTCCTAAAGGCGATCACCTTTGTCCATGGGCAAGAAATTCGGGCTGGTTTCTCTTTGGTGTCCCTTTCAAAGCATCTAACATTCATAAGGAGCGGTGTCCCTAGATTAGGAAGCAGTACCTTGACTGGATGCAAGCTTTAAGTTGCCAAGCCGTCCTTATGTGTGTTTCAATAAGGCTTCCCTTGGATAGATTGCCTCCCTTCTATTTCTAAAAGATGTCCCTTATTTAGATTCCTTTCGCTTCACCTTATTTCAGACTGTCAACCTTGCATTTGTTAAAGAGTTCTCTCTCAATTTTGCGTAATTCCCGAAAGCAAAGGACTTGCAAGCCGGCCCCATCAGCGCCCACTGGCAGGTGATGCGCTCTTCACGGTCTATGCTTGCCGTGCACTGCAGGCTCTTGCCAAAGCCGACCCTGAAGGCGACGTGGGATGTGTGCGCCATTTGCAGATTGTTTTGTAGCATCCAGATCACCTTTTGGGTGGTTGTTTCTGTGGAACACCTTCATTTTGCAATTGTGAGCTCACCTGGGGTACCGTTTGGGAGGTTGTTTTCGTCGAACACCTTTATCTTTTTGAATAATCGAGCTCACCTGTGGTATAAACCAGATCACCTTCAGTGTTGATTTCCCTCTTTTTTTCCGGAGGGTTTGAAGGGCAGAACGCAAGAGCCACCTGAAGGTGATTGTTCCAAAGCCTTGATGAATCTTCCAGGAAATCTCAGGACGAACAAGGACTCTCATTGCGAACTAACGGAAAACTGGTGGAATCTTATGGATACAGCCCGGCCACCAGTGGGCCAGCCAATGAGTTCGCTGAGTTCCTGGACCTCAATTTGTTTGTCAAGACTAAATATTAACCAGGCTCCCGCTTGCTGCCGCCGACCCTCGGCGCATTAAGGGAAAAGTCACAAGGACCGGTCCTGAAACACGTCCGCAAACCCAGGGACCACTTATAAGATCCTCTACGACCACAAACAAGGATTAACGGAAAAGTCAGAAATAGGGCAGCTAGTCCGTTAATTACCGCTTGGGCCGGCTTACGCCCAAGTCACTTCGAGTTGGCCCGGGAGCAGTCGCCTCTCCCGGGGTCGCCCTGAAACTGGCCCTCCCGAAGTTGACCACAAACAAGGATTAACGGAAAAGTCAGAAATAGGGCAGCTAGTCCGTTAATTACCGCTTGGGCCGGCTTGCGCCCAAGTCACTTCGAGTTGGCCGGGAGCAGTCGCCTCTCCCGGGGTCGCCCTGAAACTGGCCCTCCCGAAGTTGCCCTGGACCGGTCGCCGGCAGGGACCGGGACTTGGGACCCTGTCCAGGCTGGTCCCAGTCTGGCGCGGTTTGACTTGACGTATTGGACTCTCTTGCAGAATAGATCCAGGGATCCTCTACTACCACAAGGACGTCAATAACCGCACGGGCCGGTTTGGTCGCACGGAGTGACGACCTGGGACCCTGTCCAGTGTTCTGGGTGCCAGTCCGGAAACGTGTCTGGAGCGGTTTGAGGTGGCAGCACAGCAGTTTGAATTGGGACCCAATACCAGCGGTCACACCAGGACTTGATCCCGGACCGGCTTCCCAGACCGGTCCCAGGACTGGTCCCGGGACCGGTCCCAGGACCAGTCCCAGGCCGGTCGTGGGACCAGTCCCAGGACCAAACCGCCGGGTCCCAGAACCAGTCCCAGGACCGGCCCCAGGACTGGTCCCAGCAGACCAGTCCCAGGACCAAACCCCGTCCTGGGACTGGTCCGACCAGTCCCAGGACCAGTCCCAGGACTGTCCCAAGACCGGTGTCCTGGACCAGTCCCAGGACCGGTTTTGGCTGACTACAAGTAATCTGAAACAGCAGGACCAGTCCCAGGACCGGTCCCAGGACTGGTCCCAGGACTGGTCCCAGGACCGGTCCCGGGACCGGTCCCGGGACCGGTCCTGGGAATCCACTTTTTGTGGGTTCGGGCGTGTCCCCCAAAAACTATCATTGATTCCAATCACTTCCAGTTGCATCCCACGCCGGTCCCCTCTGCAGGAGGCTGGGACGGGAGGCAGAGGGTCGGCGGATTTTAAGTGGCCATGGGGCACAACCTATGGCGATCCCATTTTGGGGTGGATGCCATTGTGGCTTGCCATAGGTATACACGTGCATGGTGTGCCGATGCAGTTTGGGTTTCAAGGTGGCTACTTTTGGGGGCAGCCCCACGTACACTGGGCTCTCAGGAGCCGGGGGCAGACCTTGTGGAGCCCCATGGATGAAGTCAGAAGGCTTCAAGACAACTTCCTGGCCGCTGGTGGGTCCAATGCTGTTTTCGAAAAGCTGGGCCGGGGAAGGCTGGGTCTTGGCGACACTGGGCTTCAAGACGGCAGCTTTCGATCAACAGAGGCCCGCGATGTGGCCGAGAGATGCTTACAGGATGGAAAGCTGATGGAGTACCACTGCTACGATCATAGGGGGCGAAGCCAGGGAATGGCGGTGCTCCGGTTCGTTCGTTGGACCGTGAAGGGCGTGTTGAAGTTCAAGGCGGATCATGTGGTTGCATCAGATGCTTACTACGAGTGGTGGGCCAGCAACGTTGTGGACCCGCGAAAGGTTGTGTACCACATTTGCGAAGGTCCTCGGAGACAGTGTGGCATTACTGATGCCCCGGATGTGGAGGTGGTCCACATAGTGAGGTGGAGGTTGGTGAGCCCCCAGGCCTTGTTGGAGCAGGGCTACGCTGCTGCTCATGCGCTCAGGCTGTTCGAAGACGACCTGAACCGAGCCCTTGCCAGCATGACAGCCGCGCCGGAGCAGCCCACTTCCCCTCCGTTTCCGCCACCTGCAGAAACGGTGCGCTGTGCTGACGGGGGCGGGGGGTCCGGACTGGATGCGGCTTTGGCTGCAGCTGGGGGTGATGTCCTTGACAGGGATCCTGTGGATGCCCTGCTCAACCTGGCAGAGGCCGCCAAGCATGGGGCCCCTGGAGAGCGTGGTGCCCGTGGAGTTCGCGGCGCAGGCAGTTCCAGTGACCGAAAGCGGGCCTTTGGGCAGGTCCTTGCGGGAAGAGCGCAAGCCCGCGATGAGGACTTCCGGCAAAGGCTGAGGAAAAAGCTCGACCGCAAGAAGGAGGTTTGGGCTGATGTCGAGCACCCCAAAAAGCGGAGCCGTTTGGTCTCGGGAGAGGATTCTGATAGCGGACGTGAAGACAGCTCTTGCAGTGAGGCGGATTTTCGCGTGGCCTCGTCTTGGGAGGTAGACCTGGTTCAATTGTCAAAGAAGAACCCAGGATGCCTACTCCGGTCAGCCCTCAAGGAGATGAACAAGTATCTCGCTGCTCAAGGCGAGGCGAATCGCGAGGATCCTACTCAAGGCCGGGTGGTGTCTCAGCACCCAAAGGCTGGCATGAGGTCACAGAGAGAGCTGGTGACGCTGGCGACAGCTTTGGATCACTTGGGTGTACTGCAACACAAAACAGCCCGCAGAGCATGAGGGTGTGGCCGGGGCTGCGCCTCATTGGGGCCGGCGGAAGGATACCCAAGGGGGTCTTTGTGGCCGTGGCGGAAGTGGAGCCGGACGGAGTGAGGCTGGACAACGGCATGCGGCTGAAGAACCAGGAACTGCTGCGGGCCACCCGGCCAAGCCACGCAGTGACCTACGCCAGCTGCCAGGGCCTCACCCTCCACAACCACGTCCGCTTGGACCTGGAGTCCTGCCACCTCACGCTGCGCCACCTGTACGTGGGCGCCTCAAGGGCGACAAGCTCCGAGCTGCTGGAGGTTGCGGGGGGAGCTCGGAGAATGCGGAGATCTTTTAGCCCAGCGCTTCAAGGCCATCGAGGCGTCGCTGGCAGCCGACGGCAGTTGGGCAGTGGCCCGCCACCAAGAGCTGATTCCGGCCCAGGCCTCGTTGAGCGCTCGAGCGGAGCTCACCGAGGCTGCCAAGGCCGAGATCCGAGCTCAGAAGCTGAAAGCTCAGATCCACAAGACCAGCAAATAGGGGTTTGGCGGCGGAGGGCTGATGGGAGCCCCCGTGACGCCAAACTTGCAAGACAACAGGAGACGAGCTTCTCCTCATCCGAAGCGGGTGCACTTTCAGAGCGAGGTGAACGCAGCTCCAGTTGCCCCAATCACGCCTCAACCAGTTCAGTCGGAACGGGGGCAGACCCGCGTGGGAGCCCTCAGGAAGAAGGCGGAGACTCTGACTCCGAAGAGTTTGAGCGCGCCTCCCAAGGAAGCGGCGTTGAGTCTGGGAGCTCCAGCCGGGCCGGCGAAGTCACCGAGTGCCAGTCGGAGAGTGGTGCTGAGAGAGAGCAAGGGCCAAAGGACGAGTGGCAGAAGGTGAGAGAGTTTGCTCACTTTTGCTGGAAGCTGAACACAAATGGGAAGTCCATGTCACAGATGGCAGTCATGTTGGTTCAACTAGTCGACCGATGTCCGGGCCTAGTGGGGCAATACAGCACACGGCTTCTGAGTGAGGCTGCTTCCACTCAAGGGACGGAGTGGAGAGATCTGCTTCCGCGCCCTGTTCCCAGCGAAATGGCTTGCACTGTTCGTGAGGTTCTGGAGACTGGGGATTACAGGCCGGCCGGACTGGAGCCAACATCCGGGACGCTTACAGGAAGGCGGGCGTCGACTGCCTTTCTTACTGCTTGATTGTTGGGTTGAACATTTTGTGGGGGTCCATGAGAAAGAACACCCGTGTGCACACCGGGCCGCCCAAGGCGCAGCAGTTGGCAGCCATCGAGCGCCTCAAGCATGCCGCAGCTTATGTCGACAGCAAAGATGGCTTGGCAAAAGGAGGTGTCCCACGGACTCCGCTGGAGGGATGGGACACTAAGCTGGCACACGCCCGGATTTCTTACCACGGTGAAGTTGTGGCAAGGGCAGAGCCCTTGGAGTTGGACCGTGTGCTGGCCAGCTTGCCACCACAAGGATTTGGCGGGGTAGTTGTTGACATCTTGGCTGTTTGCGAGGGCGACGTGAGGAGGCAGCTTATGGACCCTTCCCTTTGCCATTTGCCGGAGGCCGACCTGCCCCAGGTAGTACCCTGACCAAAAGTCCGAGTTCGAACTGATGAGTGGGGGCCCCTTGCCAGGGCTCTCTACGAGCGTGGCATTGTGGCGCCAACGCCAGAAGTGGTGAAATTGAGAGGGGAAATGGTCACCAATGGCTTGTTTGGGGTTGAGAAGGCCGGAAAGGATTTGGCAGACGGCAGGACTGCCCAACGCTTGATCATGGATCTCCGTGGCAGCAACTCCTTCCTGAAGACCATCGCTGGTGATATCAAAACTCTGTCCGGCGCTGCAGCCTTTACCACAGTGGTGCTTGATGAAGGGAAAATCATTTCGATCAGTGGTGATGACTTAGTGTCGTCATTTTATTTGTTCAAGATGCCAGCCGCTTGGCACCCCTATCTCGCTTTTGAGCGACCAGTCCTTTGGAAAGATTTGGGGGCTGAGCAAGAAGGCGAGACCTGGCTGGCAGCAGCAGTGCTGCCTATGGGCTTCGCCTCCAGCGTTGGCATCGTGCAGCATATCCACCGCCGCCTGGCGCTCTGGGCGCCAGCCATGGGAGGAGGCTTGTTGTCTTCCTTGGAACTGCGCAAGGATCGCGAGTGGCCCAGTCTGGGCGACGATGCTCCGGCCTGGTGTCTGTATTTGGATGACTCCACGTTTCTCCGAAACCTTGAGGCTAAAGTGGCGGCAGATCTTGCCGGGAAGCCCGGCAAAGAGCAGGAGAACCTCAGAAAGGCGTACCAGTTTTAGGGGATTCCTTACAATCACAAGAAAGCCATCGAAGAGCGCCACCAGGCTGAAAGGCTTGGAGCGTTCCTTGATGGGAAGAAGGGCCGGATCGGCGTGACCGTCAAGAGAGCCTTGGAGAATCTCAGCCTGGGAGTGTGGCTGCTGGGACAAGGGCAGCCATCCAGGAAGGCTTTGCAAGTCTTTGCTGGAAAGGAAGTTCACTGCCTTTAATTTCGGCGTCCTCTCTTTTCAGTTTATGACGAGTTGTGGAAGCTGATTGCCGGCCCCAGCGATTGGCCTTACCTCACTGAGGCGGTTTGCACTGAAGTGGTGGTTGGCATGTGCTTGAGCTGCCTGCGGTTCACAGACTGGAGGGCTGAGCTGGACCCTTTTGTGATGGCTTCTGACGCAAGTGAAAAAGGTGGTGGATTTGTGATGGCAAAAAGGCTCACTGCTTTGGGCTGCAAGGCCGCCTTGAAGTTTCCCGCAAGGGAGCAAGACACGCGAAGTGGAATCATTGTCTTCGACTTCTTCAGCGGCATAGGGGGCCTTCTGAGATCATTGGAAAGGGCCGGAGTTCTGTGGGAGCAATATGTGGTTATTGAAAGTGACAAGCAGTGCCGCATCCGGCGGACCTGGCCAGGGGGCTCGGAACACACTGATGTGGCAAAGATGTCGCAAGCGGATCTGGCACGAGAGCTTGTCAAGGTGGAGGCTCCCAGCCTGGTTATTGCAGGCGGAGGAAGCCCATGCCAGGGTCTTTCAACACTTTCGAGTGCGCGACAGCATTTTTGCGACGAAAGATCCGGTCTGTTTTTCGCTTTCGCAGACAGGCTGGAGGAACTTGCGCAGCTTTGCAAAGAGAGGGGCATTATATTTCTTGGTTTCATGGAAAACGTTGTCATGGATGAAGAGGATCGCAACAGCATTTCGTCCCGGCTTGGCTGGACGCCGCACTTATTTGAGAGCGGCGACTTGAGCCGTGTGAGGCGCCCACGATTCTACTGGCTGTCCGAAGCCCTCCCAGATCTTCCTTGGTTTGAAGTGGCCCGCGCAGATGTGGCTGCCAAGGTACGGATGTTTGGCGAGGTCGAGCCTGACGGGCTGTGGATGCCTGAGGGCCTTCATTGGAAGGCGGCTGCTGCGGATAGCCGGTTCCCAACCTTCACTCGGCCTATTGCGCGCAAGCGCCCCCCGAAGGACCCTGCTGGGCTCAAGGGGGCCACGCCGCAGGCGAAAGAAAGGTGGAAGCAAGATGAATTTTGTTTCCATACACTTATGAAGAAAGATTCATGCTCACCGGCCAGAATGGGGAGTTGTACAAGCTTCTGGCCGCCTCGCGGGAGCTGCTGATGGGCTTCAAGAAAAATCACACTTTGAAGCTCGACAGGGAGCTTTTCGCAAAGAAAGATTGGCAGACTTCGGAAGATGTTCGGCAAGCGGCTTTGGGAAATAGTTTCCACACAACAACTGTGGCTTTGATCTTGGGCTCCGTGCTCTTTGCTCTGGGAATTCTGCCTCATGTTCGGGGGCCAGACGAGCTCTTGGTCAAACTTGTGGCTGAGACAGTGGAGCAGGAGAGTGAAGATGAGACGGCTTCCCTCCCTGCAAGTGACGCCCGCAGCGCGGGGTCTGTTTCACTTCAAGGTCTTGAAGATGATGAGACCTTGAACCAATTGGAATGCCAGCAGACAGATCTTGATGATGTTCTGCAGCACCAGCAACTCATGAGCCAGTTGGTCCACCATTTCTTAAGGAAGGTGGAAATGTGCGGGTCTGACATTCGACATGACACCAATGTCATTTTCCGGCCTGGCAGCTGCCCTCGAAGCTCCATAGACCCTTCCAAGTGGGAATGGAGGCACTGCAGAGCATTTCGTTGGGGGCGTGTTGAGCACATTAACTGCCTGGAGTTGAAGGCTGCCATTCACGCCCTCCAGTGGCGTTCACGCCGGGGATGCTTTCACAGTTTTCGAACAATGCTCTTGATTGACAACCAAGCCATATTGGCCGTGATGGCCAAAAGACGCAGCTCTTCCAAAAAGATCAACGGGCTGCTTCGACGTCTCGCCGCTCTGTGCTGTGCAATAAATTTGTATGTCCTGGTGTGCTGGGTTGACACTGCTGATAACCCAGCCGACCGGGCCTCGCGCCTTTTTGATGGTGATTGGTAGGGTCACCAAGCAACAGCGCAGAGATGAGCGGCAAAAATGGGACGTCTCCAAGCCTTGGTTGTCAAGCAAGGTACTCGCCACAAGTATCATGAGCATTTCAACAGATTCTATGAATGGGCATTTACAAATGGGTTTCTGTGGGCTGATGGTCTTGGGAAGGCTGAGGGCTCTTATCTTTTGGCTTCTTTGCAATTTATGCTCCCCTCGTTGAAGCACAACTTGCCACTTTCGTGGCGCCTTTTGAAGACATGGGGGCGTCATGAACTGCCCACGCGAGCTGTCCCGCTGGATGCCTCCACCGCATTGGCTTTTGCTGGGCTGTTTTGGGTGTGGCAAGAGTACTCTCTGGCCGCTGGCATACTAGTCGCCTTTGATTTCCTTTTGAGGACTGGAGAATTGTTCATGATCCGTCGCAACCATGTTGAATTCTTCCGCGATTCGGCTACCCTACAGCTGCAGAACACGAAGTCATCCACCCACCAACTACATTCGGAGCGCTTGTTGGCGTGGGATCAAGTGGCTATTGATGCCTTACGCTTTTTGTGTCATTCCTTAGCACCAGGTGAGTTGCTTGTCCCCTCTTCTGCAGCTCGTTTCAGAACTTTGTGGCACCGGGCAGTCAAGTTCTTCCTTTTGCAAGATTTTTACATTCAGCCTTATTCCTTGCGAAGGGGAGGTGCTACTACTGCTTTTCGACGGGGTACCACATTTGACAAATTATTACTTCGAGGCCGTAGGACACACCAACGCACAGCCAGACTTTACCTCGACGAAGCCTTGCAGCAATCCTCCCTCCTTTCCTTTTCTGTTGCCTCTAAGCAGCGCCTTCACTGGGCACGAACTCAATTGCCATCTACCGGCTTTGCCATGAGGGGGCGCGTGGAAGGGAAGGAGGGCCGTCCAGCGCAGGATCTTTTGAGGTGCACTGGTCGCTGAGGTTTTTTGCTGATGATGCATTTGTGCTTAGAGGCTTTGACCTTATCAGTATCTGCTGGAAGCAGCCAAAAATAAGAGAGCGCAGGCATTGAATGCTTAGTGTATGCCATTGTGGCTTGCCATAGGTATACACGTGCATGGTGTGCCGATGCAGTTTGGGTTTCACCCACCCGCCTCCCCCGTCCAGTGCAGGATCTTTTGAGGTGCACTGGTCGCTGAGGTTTTTTGCTGATGATGCATTTGTGCTTAGAGGCTTTGACCTTTTCAGTATCTGCTGGAAGCAGCCAAAAATAAGAGAGCGCAGGCATTAAATGCTTAGTGTATGAACATCGATTTGCCACCTATGTTGATGTTCACCAGGGGCACAGGGTGTTGACCCACAGCCATATTGTAACTGCGACACCAAGAAAGTGCGGTTGCTTTGGGGCCAATCCGCTCGATCAGAAGTGAGACTTAAGTCCCATTCCTTGGGCTCGATTTTGGTAGGCGATGGCGAGTCCCGACTTCTGCGGGGCTTGTGGCTGGGAGTGCCCTTACTCAGCAAGCGCCTGGGCCAAACTCGGCACCGTGTTTGGGTCGGCCACTGTTCAGATGGGTCTTGATTGCTTGGGTTGTGTTTGGTTGGGTGGGTGTTTTTGGTGTTCGTTTGGTTGGGTTGGGTTGTATTGTTCTTTTCGTTGGTGTTCTTTGGTTGCTTTTCATCTTCTTCGCGTATTTTTTGGCATTGGGGCCAGCGGAGATATCTTGCCCTATGACTCACAGAGAAACAACAGCAACTCTAAAATTAAGGCGAAACTTGACCATTTTGAGAGGCGGAAGCTTCGCACTTCGAGAAGGCTCTTGTCTACTCCACTGCAGATTTACATGGAACCCAAGAAGCCATTGAATTGTGCAGATACTCCATTCGGGGAGCTGTTGTCACGAATGAATCTGGACTTCCGAGTCTCATTCCAGCGAGGGTGAAAGGAAACAACACCCAACCCTAAACCCTAAACCCTAAACCCTAGGACCCAGCTTAAAGAGACAACTTCAAAGATTAATTTTGAAACACGCAAACCCAAAAATGGGTTCATGGGACAGCCCCAAAGCGGGTGGTGTCCTTTTGAACCCGAAGGCTTGCCCAAAAAAAAACGGGCCCTGTTTGATTCAACTGGTTATATCCCTGAGTGCAAACAGCTCATATTACTTCCGAAAAGGACACCAGAAGGAGACGGGTGTCAACTTTAAGGCTTTTTGGCATCTTAGGCAAATGGAATCCAAAGGGACGCCCACTTTGTTTCCAGACCCCTTTCCCCCCTTTCACCCCGAAAACTCGAACACCCGGGCCTTCGTTCCTCGACTGCCGGCGCCCTAACGCCCGCTCGAGGCTGTCGTTGGCGGCGTGCACCAACACGGCGGCGCTGGATCTGTTGCACTGCTTGCTGGGCGCCAAGTGCCCCAGCGCCCGCGCCGGGCTCCGCTCCGCGGTGCGGCGGCTCGTCGGGGTCGAAGCCGGGGACCGGGCATCGGGACTCGGAACCTCCGTGGCTTTTTGTGGCAATGGCAATCTGGTTGACTTCCTTCTGGTTGTTCCGAAAAAGAGGTTTTTAGTCTCAACTAGCATGACATGGAGGGGGAGATCCCGAGGAATCGTGCCACACCCACCTGCATTCAGGTTCTATGGTGCCCCGAGGTCAGTGCCAAAAAAATGCCAAAAAGCCTACGGGTCCAAAGTCGAAGGGACCCCTCGATGGAGACACAATCGAAACCTTGGAGCCCAATATCGAACCTTGATTCACACCCCTCCCCCCGCCCGTTTGATTCATGTCTTTTTTTTTTTTAATTTGTTTGGGGGGGTCCTTTTGTAGTGGTTGGATCTCTTTTTTCAAGGGGCACTGAGGGGTCTGTGAATCAGGGGTCAACATGATCCCTTTTTCGGTCGCCCTCTTTTGGATGAGGTTGGCTCTTTCTTTGATGAGTGAAGGCAAAATTGGGTGGCCTTTTGGACAAGAGGGAAACCAACAGAAACACAAGGCTTCAACTCGACATTCGATCAAGAGCATGGTTGTGGAATGGGAGGGGGGTAGGTCAGGGCCGTTTCTTTTGTTGATACCGCGGTACAGAGATGATGAAGTGGTATACTTTCCCACAAGCATGATCAATAGCAACTACGTTTTGTTGGGGAAGTCGACTCAACAGCTCTTATAGGTATCAGGGGCTTCTGACGGACGGGGTCGTGAGCCTGAAATTCGGGGGGGTCACCCCAGGTTGGGGTCCAACGGAGACTCCATGTGTGCGCCCCTCTCGGCTTCCGATAGCATTGTCGGTTACACATGTGGGCCTCCAAGGTGGCTCGAGAGGAATCCAAAGGACAACTAAGCCACATCAACTTTCAACGAAAAGCAAGCACAAGACAACTCGGAAACACACCCAAGCAAAAGCAACAAACCGTCAAAATTGGGATTAAGGCGAGCATGTCTATCGTTTGTCAAGTCAAGCACTTTGGGTGCAAGAAAGCGGACATGAAACCCGCAAGCAAACGGCGCAACTTCCGGGAAGACAAGGGCAAGCCCAAAATCCTAGCTGTGCGAGGCACACCCATACTATGGATGGACGAAATCCTGCACCACCAAAGAATCCCTGGTTTCTGATGATTCCCCTGTAAATACCAACCAACGTTAAAGTTTCAACCATTTGTTTCATTTCGTGGTGCGATTTCCGGATTTCGGGCTTCCATGTACACAGGCCAAAACGGGTCTCAAAACGGGACCCAAAGACCCGGGGCCCGGTCCACTCGGGGGGGGAAGCCCGTGAGGTCCCTGGCGATGGCCCTAGCCACGGAGGACGGTGCCCGGGAGGACGCGCCTCGGCGGGGGAGAGAGGCACTCGAGGATGGCAGGAGGTTGCTGAATAATTTTGCTTTTTCGGGGCTGCGTTCCGGTTTTGGGGCTGCGTTCCGGTTCCGGTGTTGGGCAGCCCGGTTTTTTGGGGGGAACAACTTTAATGGGAACCTGTCACTACTGGACATATGTTCATTTTTTCCAGGGGACTGAAGCCAATGGATGATTGCAAGGTTGACCCCGGATATTCAGCAACCAGTTTATTCATATTATGGGAAGTGTCCATTTCTGGGTGAACCAACCTGTTTATTCATATGGTGGTGTCATGAACAATCAGAAATTTGACACCGGATTTTCAGCAACCAACGGAACCGCCCAGAAAAGCAGGCATAATGTTGACCCCGGATGAATAAACAACAGTTTGTTCATGGGGGGGGCGTCCAATTCTGAAATGTGGGGAATCAGACCACTTTTGGAGGGGCAAAATTAACTCCCGTAAAAAGATAAACAGGGGTTGATGAATCCGGGGTCAACGTTATATGGACCTGTGAATACGCTGACTAGTTGCAGCCGCCTCGTCTCCGTGGATTGCCTGAATCAACCACTGCCCCGTATCTTTCACAGGGGTTCCGGGTTAGGTAAATGAATACCGCAATTCACCCACCATCTTACAATATAACATTTTGTGTGGGTTGTGGAGGTTGATCAATATTCAGTTCAGCTCTCAAATGACCCGTAAAACTTGTATCATGTGGGGAAATATAATCTTTTTGCTGGTTTTCCCCAATGGTCGTCCTCAAAGGACCTGTCGATCCCATGTCGTCATTTTAGGCCAAGTTTTTCACGTTGGCCAGCCAATTCAGGTCCCCCAAAAGCTTTCCAGCATGTCGCAGAATGTAAAGTCCCTTTGTTTGCCTGCAAATGGGGATATAGGACATAAAGCCGCCGTTCACCGAAATAATTATGGGGTGGCCGTTTGGTTCGGTACAATATGGGGTGGCATTTTTTTGGTCATGTCTCAGGCTTACCGAAGCAAACATCCGTTTGGGGGAGAAGTGTTCAAACTAAGAACAGACTTAATTATTTTTGTCCGCTCTTAGTTGCTTCCAGTTGTCCGCTCTTAGTGGCAAATACTGTTTCCGGCTCTTATGTTGCGCTCTCTTTGGGGGAGCTTTTTTGGTTAAGTAAAATATGGGTGTTCTTTTTTTTTTTTGGGGGGGGGGGTATGTCTTTGACTTACCGAAGCAAGCATCCTTTTGGCCTCGGATTTTCCGCAAAAGCAGGCCGCGGGCACCGCGGACATGGCCGCGGCGAACTTCTCCCCGGGTGCGCCGGAAGCGCTGCTTCCGCCCGACGCGCCGATGCGGGAGGACCTAGGCGCGCGAATCCGCCGGTTGGCAGTTGGCAGTTGGCAGCTGGGTGTCCTTTTTGGTTGGTTTGCGTAAAACATGGGGCTCAACCCTGGTTTAGATGGGGTTTAATTATTCCATATACCAGGGAAGCCCACCTATTTTTCCAAAAGGCCACCTATGGGCAGTTGGGTGTGTTTCAGGGCTGTGGGAAATGGAATCCACTTCTGTACAAAAAAAAACAAAGTTCCCAAAGACTCATCCAAATATGGGGGGAGATGTCCTCGTATCAAAGAAGTGGAGCTAACCCCCTTGATCCCGTGGTGCGTTTTATTTGCAGGGCGTCTCTCTTGTTGTGGTCTGGGGAGACCGAAAGGACAAAACATGTGAATCGGAAATCGAGGGCAAAGCGTGAGTTTATGTTGGCCCCTTGCCCCAGTTAAGTCGGAGGTTTATTAATCAGGGGTCAACATACTGCGCATATGGGTGTTTCAACAGAAAGAGAAGCCCTAAAGCTGATATTGATTTGCTTTTAACACTAACCACCAAGGAGTCATACGGGTCTACCGTTTGGAGCAAGCAGCGAATGGGACCGCATTACTGGCAAGTTTGGGAGGAAATGGATTGTCAAACAGCGCTGCTGGCTGCCGGCGACAACTCAATACTTGCGATGTTGACTCGAGGCTCGGGGCATTTGACATATGTTTCGGCCATTTCTCACGCCCTGAGTTCCTGAGCTTTAAGTAGTTGTTGGGAAGACCATCTTAGTGGCAAACCAAGCAATTGAACTTGCTTTTCCCATCCACTCGATCGGCAGTGATTTTGATGGCCTCAAAGACTGGCAATCTGGGCAAGCGACTGAACGCTTTGGGTTTTGACCTTGGGTCTGCGGCTGTTGGGGATATCACCTGGGCGTATTTGTCCTACATGACTCGTAGAAGGTTTCGCCTTATTGTTGGCTTCCTGTTGGTTTCTTGCTTACAGATAGTTATTCCCATTCGCCCAGCAGTGAGTTTGCTCTCTTTTTCTTCCGCGGCTGGAGTAGGCGACATGCCGAACAACCTTTTGCTGACCCACGATGATGACCTCGTGCCATCCTGGGCGGAATTCCATCACGAGCTCTTTCAGGAACTGGCCGCTCGGTAAGAAAACTTTTCCGGGTGTGTCTTTTTTTGGGATTGGACTGGATTTCGGTGTTGCTTTTGGTTTCCCTCAAACCCGCCAAAAACGTGGTACCGACTCAAACAAGACATAGCCTTTTTTCTCCTCCGTTGGACGTCTTTCCCTGGAAATTCACTGCCCGTCTGTTGGGGGGACTCAAGGGGCTGAAGAGTTGCCAATAGTTCACACTCAAAAACTTTGACAACAAATTGGCTGAATATGGTTCAGGTACCATAGGTACCCCACAAGCCCATGTTAATTGTTTCAGGCCCTAGCAACCCCACGTGACAACCCCCGCCCCTGCGGCTTGAGGCATGCCCCAATTCCAGAGACGGGTCCAGCACGCCGGACTTGGTCACCTTGGCCAACTTCGAGACTAAGGCGGACCGGGAGACAGTGCAACGAAGCAAGGGGCCAAGGGAAAAAGTCTACACAATGTGTGTGCGTACTGTGCGTACGTCGTCATATATGAGCCCTCGTAGAATAAAAATGATACTAATATATATATATATAGAAATATACCCAGGCCTTCCATTGAATCTGTTATACGGCGTCGAGAGGGGCGAAGCTGTATATTGGAGTCGACTCTGATATACGGAGGCGAAGGGATGCAGTTCAAAAACATCATGTGTTGTGTGACCACGGGCTGCCCACCATGTGAAATTCAGAGATAAACAGACATCTGGCTGCTTCTGCACATCTATGCTTTGCTATGCGCAAAATAGCAGAATGCACCGACTGCGGTTCACACAACATGTTATTCCAAGGGGGGACGGTTTGTGAAACACGTGAGAAATGTTTAATGCTTGCGCCTATGCACGTTGCGTGAAACGGCAAGAGAAAACATCAGTGTGAAATATCGATGGAACCATTGTCCGTGAAATTTCGCCCATTGTCCGTGAAATTTCGCCCATTGTCCGTGAAATCGCGAGCCCAAGACATTGTTGGACATCCTGCAGTGATGCCGCTATTCGGATTCGCCTTTTACGGACCCTTTTGGCATACAGCGGGGAAGCAATCACGTCACAGAACAAAAGGAAGGTCCTTGAGCTGCCAGAATCAGAACCGCATTGGGTGTTTTTGCTGAGGACATACGCTCTTTAAGGCAATATGAGGGTGCTAGTTGGTAAATGTGTTATGCCACTTGGTTGCCACGAGGAACGAGCGTGAGCGTGCTGGCTTCACCATAGACGGGAAAATTGCGACAATGGGGAAAATAAGGACGAGGCTGTATACGAGCGTCGATCATGTGTAACGTATTGAATGGAAGGTATATTTGAGCTCTGCCTATACATATACATATACATATGCATATATTAATATACCACTTGTGCTGTTTTTTTTGCGCAGATGCGGGTTTGTTCGTGCCATATAGGAATATACACGCATCTATATACATGTTGTTTGTTTGCGTATTTGTTGTTGTCACAGCCATTTTGTTGTTGTGTGATCCTAAATGTGTTCTAACACATGGGTTCTAGGGTGCTACAGAAGATCCTTGGTTCAATCTGCAATCCGCTTATGGCATCCCCACATCGCCAGTAGAAAAAAAGCGAAGGAGTCACCCTATTTTGACAAACCCCTGATATAGCGGCCATGGCAAAAAATGGCTGCTGTTGTTAGCGGGTGATGTGAAAGGGACGCCTAAATGCTGCGTAAGGGGCATGTGTTTGTGTTTTTCCTTCCAGGCAAAATGGATTTATGATTGCAAAGATCTCGATTTTCTGGCCAAAGCGTTTTGTTTTTCCTTCCTGGCAAAATCCTTTTTAGAAAACCTCCGGAAACCCGGGGAGACGGCCGGTTTTCGAAAAGAACGATGGTTGGAAAGCATGGGGAATCAACCGATAGAATTGCGGAATGAGGGACCGCTCCGCTCGAGTCGCGCAGGCGAGCCTCTTGGCGGAGCATGCCACCGTGCACGCGGTGGCCAGTGACTCGGAGCGGCGCCGCGGCAGGGAACGCCAAGCCAAACCCTGGGCCCCACATCCACACCTAGAAATGGTCACTGCCATTTTTTAGGTGCCCCCAACAAAAACATGAAACTGGTATAACAAGTCTTTGTGTTCCTTTGTTTTCTCCACAAAACATATACAACTGTTATATGCCCTTTAACAAAAAGGCACGCCCACATAAGGGTAAACCAGCCAGCAAGCCTAGTTGATTCCAACGGGTCTCTTGAAGACTTCTCCCAGGCGAACATGGATGCTCCCAAGAACACCTTGGAGGCAACTAATCTGTCCATGCCTCAAAATAAGCCTTAAAAGAGGGTGCATGATCCTAGGGTATATGGCTCCATTTCAAGGGTCATGGAGACTGGCAAACCGGTCACCCTCTCCCAGAAACGCAATGCGGTATGGGCCCGCCGAAAATCTAGGGAACCTGGGACTGGTCGATTTCTGTGGGCCCAGGGGATTCGATTCCAATTGTGGTTTGTAAGAGTCCAAGCCAACAATTCCGAATAGTTCAAAAAATAAAGTGTTTTTAGGAGGTGCAAGTGTTTTTGTGAGTTCAAAAAATAAAGTGTTTTTGGGACGATCAATTTGTCCAAGGACATTCAGTAGTTGAAGGGACGGAGGTCAACCGATTTGGTGTCACAGATATGGTATCTTAAACGAAGCTTGTGGATGTTCCAGGGTGGCAAACTTTGCCCAAGGCTTAGGAGCAAAGTAGGTTGAACAACTCTTTTCCACAGACCTCTGAACAATGGAAACGTGCTTAATTCTGGAAATTGAAGTCAGCATACCATAGCTACGGTCGATCTTTGACGGGAAAAAAGCCGGTGCCTAGCGCCACCAGGCAGGGGTTGAATGTGGGCTTGTCTCAAAATGGGGAAGTCCCAGAAATGGTTTCCGCAGCTTCTGAAGAGCAGAATGAGTGAACAGAATGGCTAGCATCAAGCCTCAGAAGCCTAGCCCACAAACATGGCAGCTGCGAACTTCCATTCAAAGCTGTTCGGCCCAGGACGGTCAGATACACCTGCTCCGCCGTGCCCGCAGCGTGGAATCGGAGTATGCTGAGTATCGATGTGGACACGGGCGAGGCGTGGTCGAAGCCTCTAGCTCAAGCGCTATAGCCCACCCGCTGAAAACTCAAATTTCTGTGGCTCGTGCGCATTGTTCACTTGCTCAGAGCCCAAGTAAAAGGTTGTTTTGACCTTGTGGATTGATGTCAGGGACAGACACCCTCAGGTGATGCCTGCCCCCGAAACGGTTATTTCGACCATGGCATGTATTGCCCCCTTAAACACTACGTACAAGCAAGCATTATGCAAGCTGCCAACAGACAAATATACTAATAATGTATTTAAAAAAATAAAAAAATAAAAAACAAATCGGGCGAGTGTCTTCACATGTTGCCTTGTGGCATGCTGGCAGGCCAGCAATTTTTTGCAGGCTGCATTCGTCCCTACTCATTTGGAAACGTGTTATGTTGTTTTAGGTTGCCGCCACGTTCTGCAATGCCAAGGGGGAGCCCTTTGAAGTGGAAAAAGCCAACCCAGCCCCCCCACCCACCATCACGCTCGAGACTCGGCGCCGTGTTGTTTCTTCTTTATTCTGTTCTTCTCCTGACCGGGTTTCTCATTTGAAGCCAGCTAAATGCCTTTCATGTTCTTTGTCACTTGTTGATTTCCGGCCCCCCATACAATTACCATCCATTGCCCTCAAATTCCCACATCTAGAGAAACAACGGATTTGCCCCTCTAACTCGAACTTCAAACAGGTACATACCCTGAAATGTAAGTAAAGCACATTATTTAACAACAAACATGTTATTAAACAAACATATTTTACTCACTGCAAGCAACAAATCCGAGCTCCGGCGCTCAAGGGGCCGCTCGGATCGGGGCGCAGGCTTCGACCCCTGAGCCTTGGCAAACGGCTTCGGCGCAGAGACTGAAGGCCGCTCGGCTTTCGCCTTGGTGCGAGTCCGGGCATGACCGAGTCCGGGTTTTGGGGATGAACCAAAAGGTCCCCTTACAGGTGCTACTCCTCTTTCCAATAGTAGTTTTGTTTAAACAATATTCCAATCAATGGCAAATCCTTGTCTTGGTCGGTGGGTTGGTCCCCTTACCATGCTCTGGTGCATTTTGCCAAGGGATGTTAGGACTTTAACTTTTTGCCAACGAATTCGGGTTTTCCACTAAACCACTAAAAGCTAAACTTTTAGCAGGGGAGCAGAAAGCAACCAAGCTGGGTTTCCCTTTAAAGAAAACCATAGGATGGACGGTTTTTCTCGGAAGCATTTCATTTCTCATTCCCTGCTGAAAACCAGCAAGTGTTGGCCCGTGGGCAAATTTCCCTTGGCAGTGATGTTTTAAAGGAAAATATGTGGGGGACGCTGTAGGGCCCGGCTTCACATTGGTTTATTGGGAGATGGCGCCACCTCCAAAAGAGACCCCTGACTGGGTCGGGCTGTGGGAAGTATGGTTTTACGGCCATTTGCTGTGATACCACAAGAATCCCATTGAACGTGATCAAGTGGTCATGTGGATTGGCCCGATGTATCACAGAAAGGTCAATTATTGTCCACAACCAAGTTTCTCGCTGAGTTTGTTGGCGGGGCGGTTTTAAAACGTTTGACGTTGCCAGGTCTTCCACGACGATGGCTGCGCGGTCGGCTCAGATGAAGCGTGGCTGAAAAAGGTGGGCACGCCAAAGGGGCCGTTTCGTTTGTCCCCTTGCCTGCTGCCTTGAAAATGATAGCTGGATGGTTGCGTTGTTTTTTTTGCTGTGGTCTGTTTCTGGTTTTTGTTGCTTCCAGTTTCCATGATAGCCAGGCGAAACCATGGTGCTATTTACAGGGGCCAGGGGAAACCAGGAGAAAAGATCGGACGGCGGTCAGGGGGAAGCAGTAATTAAAGTCGTGCTCTATGGCTTGCCTGGCAGCTCCGGGATATATAGACTCATAGACCCCCAGCTAAAGGGTGCCCTTTCTCACCCACTTTTTGGGGGGAGGGCAAGCCCCTTCCAAAAGAGACGACAGAAAAAAGCTGGTACTCAATTATTCTAACCTCTCTACAGGACCCAGAAGAGAATCCGCAAGCCCCCCGAAATCGTGGGAGCTGGGCTATTTTGCCCTGGCCTCAGATTGTTGGAAGCCAGGGGTTGCGAGGGCCGGGAAATCCCAACAGGAAGCCCCCGGATGACACGGGGACCTGGTCGAGTATGTGGGTTTCAGCACCGTGAACCAATCGGGATCAGGATCATGTTGGGAGTTTCACCCAACCCTTGCAGTTGAGGTGCGGTTGCGTGCGTGTTGTTTTTTTTTGCATTTTCCAGGGTAACCACCCTTCTTAGGGGTTGTTTTAAGGGGAAGCCAAAAAGGACACCGAAAACCATTTCAGGTACTTCGACACAAAGCCATGTCAATTCCCCAAGATGTTATGGGGAAGAGTTCCAAGCCGCAAGCCAAGCCTCCAGTTTTCAGATTTGGGCCTCGGCGGTGTTTGAATGGAGAGTGGATGGCACCAATTCCCGAAGTTGGTTTCATATGTTTCATCATTTGAATCCGCACATGGTGCCATGAACTTTCTAATACTTCCTTGGTGAAAAAGAGTGGTTCCCCACTCGCAAAAGCCTGGACTTTGGGTGAGGTGTGGTCGAAACTAAAAGTTCTGCAGGGGGGGGCGACCCTAACCTCATGCGTGCCGCCCTTTGCCGTCCCTTGTGCGTTTTGTGGCATTTTCCACGGGGGTCTGTTCAATCAGACCTCCGGGGTGTTTTAAATCAGCCCTCCCCCCTCGAAAAAGAACAAGAACAATCACAGAAACAAAATACGCAAAAACCACACAATGTTTTTCTCCCGTGAATTCAGCCACCACCCAAAAAAGAACAAAAAGAAGCTGTTTTGCTTTTGCTCTTCCGTCTTGTTTCGTGGCAACCAGCTTGCCGTGTGTAAGGAATACGTCCAAGACACCAGGAAGCAGAACAAGGCAGTGTTGATGTCGCGGCGCTCCATTCGCTCGAGCCACAAGGCCGGGATCGAATCAGGTCGACCCCGCTGGGTTCTCGGGTGGAATCTCTCGTGTCGTACTGTGGATGGACGAAATCCGTTCGCACCGCTTTGAACCATGGGAACACCATTGTTGGCTGGTATTTTGCAGGGGGAATCATCATTCCAGCCATTTTTGCCACCAAATAGTTTTTTGGTTTCTTAGGTGGTGCAGGATTTCGTCCATCCACAGTAGGTAAAAATAGGTGGATTCGATGCTGGTGGCTTAGGGATTATCAGAATACTGGGTGTGAAAAACGAGCCACAAGGTTTAAGTATTTCAACTGGGACTAAAAGCGTTTGAATAATGGTATTTGTTGTCTACACCTTCTATTGGGACTTGTTCGGGTTGGATGGTTTTTTCTCGTCTTAGGTAAGTTGTCAAGACTCATATTGTTGAAGCCATTAGTTTTGAACCAAGTGTTCCGAGCTAGGTCCTAGCTCGGGCTGAATAGCCAGCAAAAGGGGTCCTATGAAGTGTTTTGCCCTGTGACGTGACCTCTCTACGTCACAACCTTTTTGAGTGTTTGGAAAAGGCTAGAAGGGAACCATGAGGAAGAATCACAGGGCACTTTGAAAGGAACCTGAAAAGGGAAGTTGCCGTTTAGTTGGGTTACAGCCCTTCTTTTGCACTTGTCCCTACCTCTCCCGCCTTTTCAACAAAGTTGCTCGACTCGTTATTTGGAAAGCCACTTCCAGAGAGTGGAAATCCCAAAGGCCCCACACCGTACCCCCCTCCCCCTCTCCACGAACACGAACACGAGCGCAAACACAACCACAAGCGCAACTTGTGCTTAGGCTTCCACCCACCCAACCCCCCACCCCCCATCCACCCACCCACCCACCCACCACCCCCCACCTCCCCCACCCCCCCCCACCACCCACCACCACCCACCCATCCACCCACCCCCCCCCCGCCCCCACCGCCCACTCCCACCCACCACCACCCACCCATCCACCCCCCCCCCCCCCCACCACCCCACTCCCACCCACCCACCCACCCACCCCACCACCCGCCGCCGCCAGGTGCACAACTGGGCGCAGGCGGTGGCCTCGGCCGAGGAGGCGGGCGCCGGCGTGGTGGTGGTCTTCAATGACCTCGACGCCTTGGAGCCGTGGGGGTTGGCGCAAGTGGAGGGTGGATGGAGTGGAGGGGGTGGATGAAGTGGAGGGGGTGGAGGGTGGAGGGCTGCCAGCTCCCCAAGTAGTGCCCTATAGTGCCCTTTTACCTTCTCTTTTTTTGGGGGGAGGGTTTCCCCTACTAAATTGGACTACAGAAAAAAGTTGGTACCCAAATTCTAACCTCTCTGCTGGAGGACCCAGGCTGACTGTTGGCCAGGGTAGGGTTGTGGAGGGTTGAGGGTGTTTGATGAGTTTAGGCAGGAGATGACTTGGATGGAGTCCCCGAAATTTGTGTCCGTTTTCATCAACCGCAAGAAACGAAACCACACACACCCAACTGAGCGGGGCATTTGTTCCACATGGTCTCGGATGTCTGAGTTTAGACCGTCGAGAGAAAGGTTAGCTTTACCGTAGCGTGGAGGGTTGAGGGTCGAGGTTGCTCGAGTTTCAGTAGGAGATGACTTGGAGCATGGCACTGGAGCATGGCGAGTGGAAGCTGCATGGAAGCTGCATTTCGTTCCTACAGGCCCGTCAACTCAGGTCAGGAAGGATGAGATTGTCATTGACTGCTTCCTCTGGGCTTTCCTTCCAGCATGGAGACGACTTCTGGGGTCTCCTCAAAACCGTTTCTATACGTGAAGTTTGGCGAGATATGAAACAGAAACTGAGCATGTTATGTTTGGTGTGCCTTCTGGTGGGGCGTCTAGGGGATACCGTACGAGGGGCCAAATGACTCAGGGGTTGTGGGGGTCTTGAAAGCCAGTCCTTAGTCATGATCATACGAGAGTCATGTTGGGGCGAGATTGGAAGGGCGCGATAAGGTGTGGTGACCAGGAGGGAGTTGCAAAGGAAAGCAGCTCGCCCCCAAGAACTACCCTGAGTGGACATTCGTGAAGGCGACCCGGTCCCGACATTGCTCCTTGATGGTCTTATGCCACCTCTTGGGACACGTTTTCGTGGGAAAAGACACGACCCTAAAGTCGTGGTGTCCTTGCCCTGTGAACCACATCCAAACTCCACATCCTGTTGATTGCAGCAGATTGCGGATGGTTGGGGTGCTTGTCCTGTTCCCCCGCTTGTAAATACAACAACAGTTTTGCGAACCAAACGGAAGGGGATCTCCGGAAGAGAAAAACAAACACAAAAAAGGGGGATGGCTCAGCTCGTGTAATCCCATCGGCTGGCTCAACCAACACCTCCAACCCCAAACCTCGTAAAGGGTCTCTTCATGTTCTTGGATCATGTTTTTTTCTCCAGTTTTTTGGGTTCTGTTCATTTTTACGGGTCTGCAAAAAACCGATTCGGTTTTTCGCCAATCCATACCAAGAGTAGAGATGGTCTTTTTCCTTCGGCTTCCCTTTAAACAGCTGCAAGCCCCACGACCGGACGTGGGCTGACATGGGACCCCCAAAGAAAACTCATGGCGTGGTCTTATTTTCCTGCTTGGTTTTCCCCACGCAAAAATATCAAGAACGACCTAACTAAAACATGGGAATGTTCTGAAGAGCCCACTCTCATGGAATTCCCTGTCGCTACGACGCGATGAGAGGAGCCCTTCCGTATGGGCCTCTTCGGGGAGAAGCTCCCGAATATCCCGGCCTTCATGGTGAGCGGCAAGGATCGCTTTGTCGCTCCTTTTTTCACGGGCTTCAGCATGCTCCCGTTCCAAGACTCGCGCCTCACAAAATGGGGAGCCCTCCGGAGTCCTCCCCGAATTTGGGGGGGAAAAAAACGGAGCTGTCAGCTGTTGGAAAAAACATGTGTGTGTGTGTGTGTGTTTTTTTCTTTTTCTGTGTTGGTTGGAAAAAAACACCTTGCGTGGCTACTCTTCAGATCGCAAAACACGGGTTTATTTTTGGGTTCGTATTCAAACAATGAATACAGATCCCTGGATATCCCCAAGCTGTGACTCGCTTGAGCCCTTTTACATCGCTTGGCCCCTCGAGTTTTTGTTGAGAAGGCTTGCTTTGCCTTGATCGACTGTTCCTTATTGGCGGGTGCTCTGTTGAAACGAAGCTAAAAAGGCGCCCTCCGAACAGGCGCCCAAAAGGAACCCGATCAGCCACGAATTGGCCGAATTGGTCCCTATTGGGATTGCCCTAGACAGACATGGGACAAACAGGCCGCGCTGGTGCTTCTTTGGTGGAATCAACAAAAAGCTCGGCTTCATTGATTCAGGCGGCGAAAGCGCGCAGGTTTAGCTGCCTTTTGGGTGTCCTTACCGTGTGGGAGCAAAAGCTGTGTAATTGGGCAATGTAAACAGGCGTAAGTTTGCATCAGTAATTTGGATCATGGGCTACAGGCAATTTGTCCCTGGAGAAGCCCATAAAACGGGTGATAGCTCCCGAGCAATGCTAAGTTGGGCTCTGTCGAGGTTAAAAGCAGCCCAGCCACGTTACGTTGGAAGGATGTCAGGAAGAACTTGTTGTCCGGTAGGTGGGAACTGGGAAAGCTCTTTTCAAGAAGGCTTGCTGGTTTTCTGGAAAGATTCGGATCCCTGAGTTCAGACTGGGACAATGCCCCTGGAATGAATGGCAATCAGGCGACCAGGACGCCCTTTGCCCTGCTTCAAGCGTCCCGGAGCATGGAAACTTCCCTAGAGTCACAGAACCACGGTCTTCGAGGACCCGAAAGATGCAGATCTTTGGCTGAGCCTCCATCTCAAGAGGAACATCAGTTTTCAGGCTCCCAAAGAAACCCAGATGTCCCTAGATGTCGCTAGGACGGCCAAGCGCTTTGCGCTGCCAGAGACTGTGACATCCTCATTGTCAGGCCACCGTGGCGAAACGACGAGTTTGGTTCTGCTTGGAGGGCAACGCAGGGGGTTTTAAGCATTCCCAGTGAGTTAGCTTGAAACTCTTTGGGAAGATCATGTGGTGGACGAAAAGGGTCCTGGCACTTTTTTTCCGATCCACTCAGGGAGTGAGGTCAGGCTGGCAGTTGTCATTTGTGTATATCCTGAAATAGCCCTTGTTTTCTCCACATCTTTTGCTTAGCTGGGTTGCCATGAAAGTGAACAACTGAAAAAGGGTAAGACCGTGTTGTGTCCAAAAGGAAGATACTTAGAATACTTTTGGACCTTGTAGAAGTGAGAGCCGGAGAGCGTGGCAACAGAGTGTTTGCACTCTCGACGCGTCTTGGGGCTCGCATGTGTAATGTTTTCACCGGCTGCTACCCATCACACCACAGCTAGGCTGATGCATTGAAGGGTAAATTTGGGCAGACGCTGAAACTTGCTTCAAAAACTGCTATCTCCCCTCTTTTTCTGCACCCTGAAAAGCCACCCATAGTTTCTGTGTGTGTGTTTTTTCTCTTTTTTGTCTGGGGATCCCCTAGGGAAACCAAAGGGAAGCCACCCATTTGTTTGGCGAAACCCACCCATTTGTTTGGGGACACCCTTAAAAAAACCGAAGGGAAGCCACCCATTTTCCTGGGAAAGCGTGAAGCGCGGCTTTCTGAGCAAGCCCAAGCAAGGGCGGGGGCTCAGAACCCGCGGGTTTCGCTTAGGTCCGTCCTCACCTCCTCCTCCACTACACCGCCTTGGCCTTTGGCGGGTGGGCGCCTTGCGGACATTGCCCAGGCGCGCTTGGGCCCCTGCGGGCGCGGGCGGTCTGCTTGCGCCGGCGGAGACGGCTGGAGGAAATGAGAGAAAGCCAATATGAACTTTGTTCAACACGTTTTGAGTGAGCAAAGCTTACAGCAAATCAGCCATTTAGTATTTGTTCGGTATAGTGTGCCCTCCGCAGCGGTGTCAGCGACGGACTCTTTTGGAGGGGATCGTTATTTTGACCCGAGAGTTGGAGACCGTCAACGTCAAACTTCCGGGACTGGTTCAACCGGCTTCTCCTGAGTGATCTTGAAGGAAGCGGATTGGACACAGGTTTTGGTTTGTTTTGTTTCTTTTGCTTGATTGGTCCTGCAAGATATGCAGAATCATTGGCACCTTGCTTGTCACTTTCTCAGGTGGGTTGAAACATCAACTTCCACTGAAAGCTGTGTCCGTTTCTTTTCCGAGAAACCACAGGCCATTTAATGGGGCCCCCCAACCCTCCTCCAGAACATTTCCCAAAAGAGCAAGCCCGACAAAAATAAGGCCAACCCAGACAACGCACACAAAGGAATTAAACGTGGAAAAAAAGGCACCAAAACACCTTCCCCCTTCAAGATATTAAAAACTTCCATTTTTGCTTAATAATGTTTTACGTTTCCCCCTGTTGGTTTCAAAGAAATGGAATCTGGACATATGTGTTTCTTTCCAGGGGGCGTATTCGCAAATGGAAGAGAGCTGCCGTGAAGTTCACGGCCGCAGGCGTGGAGCCTTTTGGAGGCCATCTCGGACCACGACGGGGAGTTGGAGGAGTTGCTGCAGCGGATGAGCGTGCCAGAGACCCCCGGCAAATCCGCGAGACGTTTTTTTGGTTTTTGTTGAGGGAACCACCTCGCACGTGGTGGGTGGACCGCCGGCGAATGGTAGTGATATTTAGAGTTGGGTTGGGTTCCCTTGGGCGACCAAAAGAGACCTGCTGGAAGGGTGCCCATCAAAAGGAAGCCTGTGTGGCCCTCTGTGCCAAATGTCCACGAGCTTTGCGACTTGTTTGATGGAAGTTGCCTCTTACAAGAAGTTCGGAAAAGAGGACATTGTGTGAAAGTTCTAAGTCTGCAGAACGAAAGTGGGGTTCCCTTGCGTTTTCTTGGGTTGGTCCCCCATCCCCCCTGTGGCTTTCCAACATGGTGGATAAGCCTTGGCCTCCATGTTCATTAACCCAAGCCCTGCGGGAGTATGCCTGCAGAGCATGGAACTTCTATCATAGAAACGGGGACCTGCAAAGGAGATGTCTGTCAAATATGAGTGTGACATCCCCCGGCAGCAACTGGATTGTTGATATGTGTTAATGGATGAATCTGTGTCCCATTTGCATGTTGTTGGTTGTTGAAGTTTGAGGCAGGCCATGGCTAATTGACTAGCAATGGGCATATTGCTTTGGGCGCCCAACCTCCTGCCTCCCAAATTTAAGCTCAGACCGGTGGCATCGTTTCGGCGAGATTCTGACCGGAGGCCCGGGCCGGGCTCTTTTTCATGCTTCAGGTTATCTGAAAATGGGATGTACCCCAAGAATGGCTTAGGAAAGAGGGGAGGAGCTTGGATCTTATGGACAGCTTGCATTGGGATGGATGAGTTTTGCCACCACACTGGCTTTGTGAATGATGAGGATGAGGATGAGGATGAGGATGAGGATGAGGATGAGGATGATGAGGATGATGAGGATGAGGATGATGATCATGATGATGATGATGATGATGATGATGAGGATGAGGATGAGGATGAGGATGAGGATGATGAGGATGAGGATGAGGATGATGAGGATGAGGATGATGATGATGGTGATGATGATGGTGATGGTGATGGTGATGGTGCTGGGTGATGGTGACAAGGTGGCAATGATGATGACGACCCAAGTCTGCACTGTGGTTTCGCTCGCCATGCCATCGAAGCATGTACCTGAGGAAGAGGGTTTGGATGACACGACGCCTCGCCCCTTGGCTTTTGGAAGCTGCGGGCTCGCTTTTGCCTTTTGCCGCTGTCGTATCAGACAAGGTGATGTGTTTTGGTCCAGATGAGTTTATCTCAGAAGGGAATCTCCCAAAATGAGTGGTATTCCTTTGCTTGCCCTTTGAACATCTTGGAATTTGTTGGAATAACAACGTACTAGAACAGTCTTTTCGGGATTCTTGTCTGGGGGTACAGAGTCTCCTAGGCACAAGAGTCTCATGAGACCAGTTTTTGTGCTGGTTGATTGTTACGGGAGATCCTTCCCTTAAAATGGTTCCGAAGCATAGATAACCCCTTATCAGGTTGTTTGTAAGACCCTAAGCATGTTAAATTCCCAACCCCCCCAAAAAAAACAATAAAAACAAATAAAGGAAAAAAAAGAGGTCGAAAACTCCACGAATCCCCAACAGCCCGCGCACCCCCTGAGCCCCTTACCCCTGAAAGGAACAGGTTCCTGGTCTGCAGGTGGGGCCTGGGTTTCAGGCCATTTGGTCCCCAAGCCCCCAAACCTCAGCCCAAAGCGCTCACCCACCTGAACCCAAAACCCAGGTTGGGACAATTGCTTTTGTTGCCGTCTCTAATTCGGGTGTGCCTTTTTGAAGGGACCCTTCAAAATGATGGGTTACCTCGAAACCAACCCCCAAAAGAAATACTTAATAGGGCATAAAGGGCAGGGTACCCAGTACGTGGCTAGTAAGCCTGCTTATAACCCGCCAAGGCCATGGTTTATAAGTCTCACTGATTTATCACCAGGCTTGCTGGCCACTAGCGCACTGAACAGACACTTATTTCCAAAACGTTTAAGGACAATCACCAGGCTTACTCTCACCACTTCCCTGACCTACCGAATGGATCGCCACTCTTTTTCGTACCCTGGAAATAGGGATTGGAGCTTTCAGGGTGTCCTGAGTTTTTGGGGCTGGGTTGGGGAAAGGCTCGCGGGGCCCACGGAAGTTCCTCCAAAAAACGGCGCAAGTAGCTATGGCTTTTATGGGTAACCAGGCTTACCACTGACCTTGCCAAACCCAGCGCCCCTTTAAGTCCCCTCGAACAAAAAGACGAGGCACGAGCCCTAGGTGCGTCACCACCGGCACCAAGCGGAGGGCGAGGAGCTGGAGCCGGCCCTCGCCTTTGTGGAAGCCGACCGGTGGCTGGCGCCGGAGCGAGAGATGTCGGGAAGCGACGACTCGGGCTCCATGGGTCCATTTCTAGGTCCGGCTTGCCAACTTTTACCATTCCAATTTTTTGGGTTTTCGGTTCCCCTTTTCATAGACTACGGAAAGGGAGCCAAATTGTTCTAACCTCTCTACTGGACCTAGATTTGGTGAGTTTCCCCTGGGTTTAAGGGGAATCTTAGTCAAGAAAACACGAGCCCTAGGCCATTGGCATGGTAAAGTGTCATGCTTGCAGAGTAGGTTTGTTTGGTAGGTTTGAGGGTTTGAGGGTTGAAGAAAACATGTGGTTAGTTTCCCCTGCTGGGTTTAAGCGGTTTAAGGGGAGTCTTTCCCTGAAGAAAATGTGCGGAAGAATATCCCCCGGTTGGGTTTTGAAGGGAACCGATTTTACTACTGGAATATGTGTTTTTAGTTTTAGACCCTGTTTGTTGTAGAGGAAACCTATCATGGTTGGTTTCCTTCCAGACGAACGATGCGATTGGAGGACTGATGGACTCCCTGACTCGAGTTTCTGGACTCGAGTTTCACTTGGGTCTGGTGGCCATTTTAGTGGGAAACCAAAAAGCTCGGTTACGTTTTGTTTGTCCGGTCTTTTCAGGAAGCGAGTCCCGGCCTCGAAATCCCCAGAGTTCAGTGTTCCCTTCCGGAGGTTCGTTGATCAGTAGATGGCAATTGTGTTGGGGGCCCCCAGTGCTGGTTTCAAACCTCCTTCATTCAAGTAGTGGTATCGTTCTTCAGCCAACAGTGGCTTGTAGCTCCCTTACTGGTCCGCCGATTTTGCGAGACACCAACTTGTTCGCATTTGATGCAAACCGGAGGAGTCAGAAACCACAACTTTAACATGTTGACTCCTTTCAGGGGACCAACACCTTTTGCTTCAAGGGAAACCACCAGGAAATCGCATCAAACACCAGAGGGCTCATGAATTTATTTTGCGTTGTCGTCAGTACGTGGCTCTTTTTGGAGGGATCCCTGGATACAAGCTTTGGGTCGCCTTTGGGGGACCAACGTCTTCGGATTTTAACTGGGGAAACCAACCACCAAGGAGTCAGAATTACATGGTTTTAAAGGGATACCAGGAGGGTTGCCTTGTTTCGACCCAACTTAGGTTGGTTTTGAAGGGACACCAATTGGAAGAGGGACACCAACCCTTTGACGCGGTTTCATTGCTGGCTTGGTTTTAAAGGGACAACAGGGGAGCTGCCCTTTGACCCCACGCGGAGGAGAAGCAGTTGGAAGCTCTGCGCCAGCAGTTCCGGGAGCAGACGGGGCTCGGGGCGCCCGACGTTTGCGGGGAGTTCGAGGTCCGCTTCCGTGGCTTGGGCGAAGCCGGCGTCGGCGGAAGAAAAATGCGGGGCTGAGGTTTGCGGTCTCCAACTCAAAACACCCGAGGCTACCTTTGGTGCATTTCAAGGGATGTTAGGACTTTAACTTTTTGCCAACAAATTTGGGTTTTCCCATGAAAACCACTAAAAGCTAGTCACTTTTAGCAGGGAAGCAGAGTTCGCAACCGAGGTACAGTGAGCTTCCTAGATGTGGCCTCCTTGAAGGTTTCGGTTTCCAAACCTCAACATGTCAGCCTGGGGGGCTGGGATGTCACAAAGGGGTGTCTCCAACCCAAGACTACTCTGCAGATGAACACGGAACCCAGAAAAATCCTTCGGAGATTGGGCCCCGCTTAATCTGCAGACGTAGTTTATATTTCAGTGTGACAAAATCATATTGTTTCTGTTTTCTTTGTACCTCTGTAACCCTTCCTGGGCGTGCGTTTCTTGTGTTGGTCGGCAAGTGGAAGCCACCCCATTTCGGAGTTGCCCCTATGAGACAAGCCTATAGGTTTCATGGCTTCGTTTTGAGACGATCCCTGTGTTGGGCTTCATTTGAGGATCTGCCTGCCACTTGACCTATGGAACCCATATACTTGTTCTTTTGAGGTCGAGTAATGAACCGGGATCTGAAGATATTCTCGTTGGTTTACCCCAGAGTGGGCCGCCAAGACAGGGAATTGGGTTCCGCAAATGTATTAATATGGACACCCAAAAGTGGGGAGTTTGCGATTTCGGAGATTCCTCTACAAATAGGTGTTTGGATTGTGAATCAGGAGAGCCAGGGAGCCAAAATGGGATCTTCCACTTTCCTTGGCGGTTCCCAGCCATCCTTTAGGCTTTTATAGGTTTTTTAGGGTTTAATCGGGGGTTTCCATTTAATCCACCAAAAGTGAGTCACTTTTAGCGGGGGATCTGAGGGCAGCCCATTTTCGAGGACCGTTCGAGGGCATCGGGAAAAAAGAATCCGCCAGCGCCCGGCCGCAGCCGGACGCCCAGGCGGGGAGCAGGGCGTGGGCAGTGCGGTGGCCAGGGAGTGGATGGACCTCATCGCCCGGGAGGCGATCCCGCGGTTTGTTTCGCGCGCTGGAAATTCTCGAGCGGAGAGGTTGTTCGGATCTTAAATGTTGTTGTTCTCCGTTTTGTGTTTCCCTTTTTGTTTGTTTCTTTTCTTTAGTAGAGTTGGGATCTCAGATGGGTTTTGTTTTGTTGTTTTTAGTGTATACCCAGCCAGTTCCAAGGTTCTCTCACAGACGAACCCAGATTTCCTCGGCAGGTCCGAGCCATTTAGTTCCTTGGACTTTGGGAATTGTTTAGCGTTTGGAGACATAAACACAAGTGAGACTTTAGCAATCAACGAACCGCTAAGAGCCTCTCGTCTTGAAAAAAAGTCCAATGACATGGATGTGATGAAAATCGGATGTTGGAACTTTTCTGACCCTCTTGAGAAATAAGGCGTGTCTTTTTTTGCCACCTTTTTTCCAGAAAATTGGCGACCCCCTCAAAAAGGAATCCTCCACTACGAGGGGGTCAATCATTTATTCCACAAGGTGTCAAAAAGACACCTCGGGAGAAACCTGTTGGTCTTGGGAATGGACATTTCTCAGGATTTGAGTTTGCAGCCATTGGCTGATAGCAAGATGACCAATTTTGTTCAAGCTGAACCAAACCAGTTCGATGGTCTGTTCCGGGTCATGACTCATTCCTTCAACATTGCCGTCACAAAGGTGCCCGGTTCGGCGAAAAAACAACTACCCATAAGAATTAGATATCACCCCCCCCCCCCCCCGTTCCCAGAGCGGAACGCCATGAGAACAATAAGCGCCGTTCCCTTCCAAGTGGTCAACGAGCCACCTGCAAGAATGCTCGGAAGTCACCTGGACCCTGAAACTACCGAGAAAAATATGCTTGGCATCACCTCTTCTTTTGGGGTGAGATCCAACTTTTAAAAAGGATTGACTTGCGGTTGCAGGCACCTTAAAAGGAATCCCGTAAAAATATGTTTGGCATCACCTGATTTTTGGGGGTGAGGTCCGATTTTGGGCACGCATTGCAGGACTCCAAAATAAGGTGATGCCAAAATGGAAGCGATGGAAAGAGTCCAAATTGATGAGTTAACATGGGTTGGTCTCGTTTGCGGGTGGACTCCTTCCATTTCGGCCACGCATCTTTCGGTTTCTCGTCGCGTAGGCCTTCCTGCAACCCAAGCTGCGGCTCCTGCGGAGCTTCGACCAGCGGCAGCGCCTCGACCAACGGGATCGCATCCCGAGGGGGCGGGGAAGCCAACCGAAGGGTGAGGTCAGCTCTCGGTGTCCAACTTTACCACAAAATAATGCGTAGGGTGCGGTTTGGTTTTTTGTTGTTTTGTCGGCGAAAGAGCTTTTCTTGCTGACGTGCGATGGGGAATGACAATGAGTCCAGGTGTTGAAATGAACCGGAATGGGATTCACGAAAGGAAATCACATGGCATATGATGGTTTATAGGGATCATTCCATTTCTCATTCCCTGCTGAGAACCAGCAAGTTTACACCAATGATAAAAAGCGTAGGGTTTCTTTGGTACTGTCTCTTTTTCTGTCGCCAGAGGGTTTTCCTTTGGTCTCCCTATGCCTCCACACCGCATTAAAATGGAGGGATTTCCTTCCTTATGGTATGTGTCAAAACAGGGAGCTTGTACTGTTGGTTTGCCTTTAAGCCAAGCTGAAAAGCATGCCCTCAACATTAGATATCTTGAAAATGTAAGAGCTAGCTGGTTGGTTCTCCTTCAATCAAGAATTGTCCTTTGATTTCTTGGGTTTCCCTGTTTCCTGAATTGGTTTTCTTTGGCTGTCCTTTTGGGCTGGATACCAATCCAACCCCTCTTATAACGTAGCAGGGATGGCTCCGTTTCGTATTTCCCACCATGTCCGACGCTTCTATCTCCCAAAGATGGCCCCCGCCCTCTGGTTGCGTTGTTTGCCCTTTCCTGGACACTCCAACTGATCTATACATGGGTGTGGATCAAAATTAAACAGGAGGGGTTACGCAGATGTTGGTCCATGTTTCCACTTACGAGGGTTGAATTTTGGTACCGTTGTTTGAGCCACAGTCATATATATATATATATTCATCCAGTGTTTTGCCAATGGCACAAACCACACGCCGCCCAACCGCCCAACCACACACCCCACCAAGCACAGCCCGTGCCTGGCGACCCGAGGACCTTTTGGCCCGACGCCGCTGCACCCTTTTGCAACAGCTGCTGGAAGCCTCTTGGCAGGATCCCCTTGGCTGCTTTTTGGAATCCTCGTTTAGAAAATCCTTGTTTATTGGAGGTCAAATGTGAAGAACCGAAAATTTGAACAGGGCACCCCCGCAAGATTGATTGATTGGTTTTCCTTGAGGGTGGCCCTTTTGGAGTGACTGCAAAGGGGTCACCAAAAAAGCAAACAAAACCCGGACACCTGTGGGATCCCCTGTTTTTGTAAAGACACCCATTCCGTGTTTGCATTTGGGTTTTGGATGATTTTGTTGGTTTTTGATTTTGGTTTTTAGGGGTTTGAGGTCTTGGGGTTGGGTTCCCTCTATTTGAGCCTGGTGAGGCTCAAGCATCTTCGTTTTGGCCCATAGGTGACTTGCCCTTGGCGTTGTGATGTTTTTAGGCTGGAAAGAGGGGGAATCCCATCTCCCCAAAGCCCCAACCCCCCAAGTATCTACAATTTGATTCCCATTCTCTTCGCTTAGCCTGCTCAGCAGCCACCGATTTCCCCCAAATCTTCAGCGGAGGATGTGTTTGCCTGGTCCAGCTTGGTAGCTTCCCTTCTACCCCCAGCAAGGGGGTCAAATCCTACACCACCAACTTTGAGTTGCCTGAGAGATTCCCTGTTGGGCGGGGGGCGAACAAGGACCTGTTTCCCTACCGTTGAGCCCTGGATCCACCATAGACTATGGAACCTGTGCCAAAAGTGGCAAAGCAGCTCCAAGCAGCAAAGAGCCCTGAATAATAGACAATGATTGGAATTTGGACATGACATAAGGGCCTGATTTTTTAGAGTGGGGCCGTTGAAACCATGAAATTTCCGGGAGGCTTGACGCCATGATTGTATGCGCTGCCCCTTTTGCTTTTCTGTTTTTTGCTAAGAGTCATTTTAACAGCAACAAGACCGGCGCAATGTTTTGTCGCATGCTGTATCCCACATGCTGGTTTGCGTGCTTTTGGTGCGGGCATCCCTTTGAGAGCAACAAGAACAGGTAAAAACCTAGGATGACAACCCCGGCTTGATTCAGAAGGGAGTTTCCCAATTGAAAGAGAATCAGGATTACTTTGGGGAGTTTCACCCCAATATGAAGTCAAGGTTTTGCTTAAATCTGGTGTCGACATGATGGTGCTTTGATCGCAGTTTCTGTCCTTGTGTGGAGCACGAGCGAGAACAGGCAAAAGTCCATTCTTCCCCGTGTTGGTGGACATGGTGGGACCTCTGTTGAAATAAGTTTACATTCTTAGATATTCTTAGGCTCACTCTAGCCCCCCCAAGCTTGGTGTTCTTGTGGTGTCCCTTTCACCGAGTAGCGTGTTTCTGCAACGGTGAATATTTTGCCGTCATCTACGGTAGAGGGGATGACGGAGCACACTCGCCAAATTGAAATGCGGAAATGAGGGTTGCGCAGCCAATTCACGGGTTGGTTGGGAATGCATCCGTGGCCAATGTGTCAAAAAATAGGGGAGGCCCATAGTTTTCCCTTTCATTTCTCTTTAAGACCACCCCAAACCGGTCAACAAAAAGTTATAGCTACAAAGGATGGACTCTGATATTTTGTGAACACACATATACTTCACATTTCGTAGGCTCTGGCCAACAGTTGCTCTGGCTCGAGCGTTTCAATGTTCAAAATGTTCAAACTCCCGGCCTAAGGATGGACTATGAGATTTTGGGTTGTCTGGTGGGCCTCGCGCTGTGGCAGAACTGCACCTTGGATCTGCCGCTGCATCCCCACGTCTGCGCCCTGCTCTTTGGCTTCCCCGAGGGCAAAATCTCGCGCCTTCAGCTGCAAAAAGGGGGGGGGAGCTCTGATAGCTCCTGGGTCCCCCAGCTAGGTGCCCTTTCTCACCCCTGTTTTTTGGGTCTCCCTTTTTTTGTGGGTGGGAGGGCAAGCCCCTACTAAAGTGGGCAGAAGAACGGGGACCAAATGATTCTAACCTCTCAAATCTGGAGGACCTCGGCTCGGTTCTCCCACCCCAACCCGTTGATTTTTTGGACCGTAGCCCATTTTACCGTTTGGTTGGGCCCAAAAAACGGGTGTGGGGTCGAGAAAAAACTAAAGGCAAGAGAAAATCCTCAGGCGGAAGGTTTCTGATCCAACCTCCCACACCTCCAATGGGCTGGAGGGGGCAAGGGCTTGAGAAGCACATCTGAGCTCGCAGTGGAGCTTGTGCAAAACCGATTCGAGCAGAAGCTTTCTAGAGGATAAACCAATATACATGTATAGGATATCCACCCTTTCAACCCTCTACATGGTTAAGAACGGTAGATAATTTTAATGTCAGGCTTTGGATTCTGACTCAGTGGGATTGCGATAGGTTTGACCATGGCATGGACAGACCTTGCGCAGGACGTCTCCCTATTACTTTGGGCATCGGCAATTAGGTTTTGTTTCCCCTTTGGTTCCCCTTGACAACAACCTAAACAAACTGTACCTCCACTAAACAGACACCCACATAGGGTCACCTAAAATGGGTATGTTTTTCTTGGCGGGTACCTCCTTTGGCGGTTTCCCCTCTTGGAGCTTGCCTGGAGCGCCCTGGAAAAGGATCCGCGAAAAAGAGCGCGTGGGATTGGAGAGCATGGCTGAACCTGGGGCCACAAAAATAACTTCGGTAATTCCAAGGGCTGTTCGGACTTTGAACTTTTCGCCAACGAAGTGTTTTTTTGGTTTTTCCGAATAAAACCACTGAAAGTTAGTCACTTTTAGCAGGGGCGCGGAAAGCAACCGAGACTCCCTGAAAAAGGTACCCTCAAAACAACGCTCGACATTTGGTCTAGTTAGTTTGGGGAGAAAATTGGGGAGAACTAAAAGGGGTTCCCATGCAGACCCCCAGTGGCAAATCTCCCGCCTGCCCCGCATTCCCACTCATAATACTTCTACAAAGGGCGGCCATGCCGTGTTCATAGCCTGATCCTGCTTGCAAGCAGTGGGGCTTCCCACCCTTGGAACACCTCCAGACCACGAATCCAAAATCTACGAGAAGGGCTAGTTTTTTTCTCGGGCTGGAGGGCTGGAAACGAATCAAAAAGCGGCGCTGCAAGGACCAGCTTGGCAGGGGCTATACAAGGGACTATACATATCTGGGCAGGAATCATCAAAGCCACCTTTGTGTTCACGTGCCCTGCCGGGACCACGTTTTCCCCATTCCAAGCGATGCAAGGACCAGCCTGGCAGACATGGACCCAGACCTGCAGAAGAACAAAGTGGACTGGCTCTTGGCCAATTCGTTGGAGCAGCTGGGCATCGATCTCTCCTTCTCGGACCCCTTGGGGGTGGAGGAGGCCCGCCAAAAGAAACGTTGACGCGCCCGTGTTTTTTTTTGGACGAGTGGGAGGGTGGCCATGTTTGGGGTGTGGGGTGGGTGTTGGATGGCTTCGGGCTGATGAGTTTTGAGACTTGGAATGGTTAAGGATGGTGTTGGTGGCCTTTGATGTCAGGTCGATGCTTGTTTGATGGACACCCAAGCCCCTTTACAGACCCTTTCTAGGGCTACAACAAGGTCTGCCGACTCCTGCCGCGACCAAGTTTTTGGATCGTCCCTTTAGTTGGGTTACAGGGAAAACTACAAGGAATGGCCCCAGAATGCCCTCAATCAGTGTTTGCCTGTAGAATTTCCTGTACCCCAACCCTTTGATTTCTACAACAAACCTCCATGAGGCGCCGAGCTCTGATCAGCCCGTGCCAAAGCCACCAAAGTCCTGCCCTCGCGCCCTCGGAACGTGCGCGGAACCCCGAACCCGCAGGGCCGCCCCGAACTTGGGGGCTTGAACCCAGTGGGAAGCAAGCAGCCACAATGAAGTGAGTTTCAAGGAGCCGACCAGAAACATACGGATGGACGAAATCTTGCAGCTAAGAAGCCCTGGAACGATGATTCCCCCTGTAAGTACCAACCAACGATGGTTTCAACCATGGTTTCAAAGTGCAAGGATTTTGTCTATCCACAGTAGTGACACACCAACCTCCCAGGCTGAAGCAAAACTCAAGCAGAAAGTGAATGGACACAACCGAAGCGTCCAAGCCCACCCTGCCACAACTCATTTGCCACTGATGTGGGTGCATGTTGAAATAGGGCAACCTGATATATCGTTGTTTCCTTTGCTTTCACAAAGGTAAAAGTGGTGCGCTTGAAAAACAAAACAAAAAGAACATGTTCAATGTTTGAGCAACACGGCAGAACGTAACACGAATCCTCGTGAATCGCTTGGCACCCTCCCAGAAGCGCCCCCCCCCCCCCCCGCCGCCGCATGAGAGAGCTTTCAAAGAGGAAGCCCTAGATTCGGGTTGCGCTTGTGGCGCCCTTTGACTCGTTGGGTTGCCGCCTTTTGCCTGGACAGAAGCCCCGCCCTAAAAGCATACCTTTGATATATTGGGTCTGTCTTTGGTGCCTAAAAGGAAAACCGTCCTTTGGGAGGGTCCCCTAAACAAGACACACCCATAGAAATCTATGGGCCCCACCCAAAAAAAAACACCCATATTTCTATGGCAGATGGAAGTGGCTCCACCCCTCATGCCTCAAACACCCACTTCCATTTGGTCAAGAATATATATATATATATATATATATATATATTTGTACATGTTATTTCCCCTATTGGTTTTAAAGGGAATCTATCACTATGTTTTTTTCCAGAGGACAAAAACGCAACTGGAGGAGAACCCGGCGCCGTAAAACGCCGCGCCAGGAGAGCGAGGGCGGAGAGCCCTTGCCGGCGCTGGTGCGGGCGGACGATCGGCTGGCCGGCGCGGAGACGGAGAGCTGCGTCTTGCGGCGGGTGGGTGCTGCGGAGGTCTGGGACCCGTGCGGATGGGGCGGATGGGGCGGGGTTGGGTTTGTCTCAAAATAGGGGTACCCTCTCTCGAACATGGCACCAAGGGGGTCCCTCAAGGAGTTTGATCTTCCAGGTACCCTCCCGGTGCCATGTCGGAAGGAGGGTACCCCCCAAATGGGTGGTTTCCCTTTAAAAGCACCAAGAAGCGTTCCTTTGTCAAAAAAAAAGAAAGTACCTTGAAAGCCACCGAGCAAGGTTGGACCCTCAAAAAAGACCACCCCCCATGTGAAACCCGGGATGCATCCCAAAATCGGAATTTTGGCAATTAAACATGTTCACAATGGGGGTGTGAAAATAAGGGCCGCCCCGCAAGATGACTGATGTACCTTTGCTTTCCCATTTAAGCCAGCCCCAAGGGTACCTGGCCTCAAAAAGACACCCCATGAATGATTTGGTTCACAGAGGTCCCTATGGCTCCCCCTTTGGGGAGGGTGTTAAACATAACCTTTCGGTTGCCAATGTTCAATGAGTTTCAGTTTGGTGGGGTGATGTTCAAACGGGATACTTATAAAAACCCTATTAAATGGAGAGCTACAGCGGATACGGATACTCAAAATGGTGCAAGTACACCAATCATTCCCAGCACAAAACTATGATGAATTGCAGTAAGTTCGATTGTGTTCTTGTATTTTCTTGTATTTTCTCGTATTTTCGTGTAGCTTCTGGTATTTCCTTGTTCTGCTTGCAGTATTTTTGGCACCCGACTGGAGCCCCAGAGCTAGCACCAGAGCTACCACTGGGCAGTTCGCTCAGTTCGCTTCCATCCCGCGCGACAAGTCAGGTGGCCCTGGCGGATGAGGACACGGTGACTGACCAGAACAAGGCGCATCGAGTTCTCTCGGCTCGTCGGCTCTGGGCTCGTCGGCTCTCCTTTTTTTGAAGGGCCGTTGCTGGCTACTAGTGAACTGAAGCTTGAAAGAGTGAGTTGTGAACCTTGAAATTTCAACTGAGTTGACCCTGGTGAACATGAGTTGTGAACGTTGAAAGAGTTGTGAAAGTTGAAAGAGTTGTAAAAGTTGACGGGGTTATTTCTTAGGGTCGGCTCATGACCAAACTTCCCATTCGATTCTGTTCCCTTTCCAAAGGACTTAGGGCTCCACTTCTTCAGCCCCCTGAAACCCAAATTTGCCTCGAGTTCGACTCGCCCAAGCCGAAAAATGGCGCCCCATGGCTTCCTTGAGGATCCTGGTGGCCTAAGATCCTGGTAGCCTCTAAGGAAGTGGACGGGTTCCCACGGGGAAAAAAAATGTTCGGAGACAAGCTGCACTGCCAGCTTGCAAATACTGTCAAACCGGTTGGTTTTCTAGATTGTAAGCGGGACAGGCAAACAACATGGTTGTTGGTGGGAAACATTGTACATTTTTGCTTATCGTGGTTTAGTGGAAAATCCCCACTTAACTGCTAAAATTTAAATCTCTGCTCCCCTTCCAACGTCAACCAAGACAAAATGGAACCTATTTGGGCTGAGTTGGGCCATTTTTTCTCCATCGCGCCGACCTGGGACTTTGGACTTTGGACTTTCTGATCGATGGGTTGCTCCATGTTGGTGGGAGTGAACGGGATGTTTCATAGTCGGTGTCCTTTGGTGTCACTTTGTTTGTGTTGTTTTTTTGGGGGGTCCTTTCGTTTCCCTTGGATGTTCGGGTGGGGGGAGGGGTCCTTTGGTTGTGATGAAATGAGCTCTGGATCAGAAGGTAAACCCTAACTGCAGCAAAAATCGGGCGAACCATGTCTGCAAGGCTGACCTATGCAAAAATCCCATTCGCTGGCTGAGGGTACATAACCCGAGGTCCTTTAGGTCAAGGTGGTTGCATGTGAGTTGTCAATTTGTTCAGAACACCTGCATTGGAGTGCCGAAGCGGGATGCGGGGAAATAAAATGCAATTCCACCGTCTACCCCCCCCCCCACCACCAAACTGCAGGACGGCTTTGCAGAGTTCCCTATCATTCTCCTTTTGGGAGTTTGAGCATCACCTTTCGGTTGCCAAGTTTAGATGAGATTCCTTGTGGGGTGATGCTAGGGGAAATATCTCGCTGGTGCTCAGAATGAGGGAATGAACCTGGAAAGGAACCGTAAATGGCTTTTGGGGGTTGCACCGGCAAGATATGGCTGTGGTTCAAGACCAATGGGATCCCATTTTGGGGTCGGTGAATTCACGAACCTGTTTTAGTGGTTGGATTGGGATGTTCACTGGGTACGATTTGGATTTTGACCCATGGCCATTTGCCCCTATGAGACAAGCCTATAGGTTTCATGGCTTCGTTTTGAGACGATCCCTATGTTGGGCTTCAAAATGTGAGGATCTGCCTGCCACTTGACCTAGAGGGACGCCTCGCTCCTTAGGAGCTCTTCGTGTCGCGGCTGGTCGAGTGGCGGCTCCAGCAGAGCGTTTCGCTGCAGGTCGAGGCCATGGCGAAAGGCCTCAGCCTCTCGGCGAGCGACGGATGGGTTTGGTTCCGTCTTGGCGAGGCTCGGTGACCCGTGGGTTTTCGTTGTTTTTTTTGGTTGTTGTGATTTTTTGAAGGAACAAAAAGGTGAAGAAGAAGCACGAAAAGAAAAGCGTGTTTGAGGGAACCAAAGGAGAAACTGTTTTTGCTTGTGGTTTTGCAAGAACAAAAGGAACACCATTGAGGCATTTTGGGGGGGGGAGGGGTACTCCAACCAGTTTGAGGCACACCCAGCCAATGGCGCCCGATACGTCGGCTGAAAGGGAAGCCTCCAGGAATGGAATCAACAGAGCTTTATCATGCCTAATTGGATGTTTGTTGCCAAGTTAGTAAATGGTTGGCCATCTGGGGTATAACCCACTAATAACAAGGTCAACCCAACTTAGGGGGACACATAAACAGGTTCTAGCTTAGGTTATTACCAACGACTAACTGATCTGAAAGGCAGCCCCCTTTTCGGTTTAGAATCCTGGTGCAGGTGCCAGTTCTTCAAAAAAAGAAAGAGGCCAAGGAGTTGTTTGGACCTTCCCCCCTCCCAAACTTCGGGACTTCGGGGGGCTTCTGTAAAACTCTCCGTCGTCGTCGCCACGCGCGGATCGAGGCAAGGTCTTGCCCGCGAGCCTGCGCCAGGAGATGCGCCTCGGCTCTCGAGGGCGGTTCGGTCAGCTTCGAGCCCCGAAGTTGGCGGATGATGAGGTGTTGCTCTTTACCGATGGCGGAGCTTTCCTCAAACGACGTGAACTCGAAGATTAAATTCTTCGACTTGATTAACTCTACATTCTTCAACTTGATATACAATGAGCTTGAATTCAACCGTTTGCCGCACCGGGGCTCCATTCAGTTTTAGTGACAGCTGCATGTTTTTGAGGCTACCTTTGTTGGCTTGGCTGCAAGGGAACCAACAAAAGACAACCATTTGGGAAGGAAGGTGCCCCTATTTTGAGCAAGCTCCTTTTGACCGGCGAATACCATCTCACTTCGCCAAAAAGCACCTGGGGGATGGCAACACAGAGCAAATGACCAGTCGGGACGACTGCATCAGGTGACGCAACCCTGAGAAGAGTTGCACAAAACCAAGGTGAGCCTCACCATGCTGTTCTGGGCGACATCGAAATTGTGTTTTTTGAATGAGGTACGTAGTCTTACATATTACAAGGACAACCCTGCCTGGGCATCGGGAACATGCCCCGGGATTCCAGAGGCGACTTCAACCTGCTATCTTTCTAAACCCGACACCAACCCAAAACAAACTACCATTTATGCACGCGAAACAGTGGACAACCCTCCGCGCAGCCGGCACTGACCGTGTCCGTTGGTGGTTACAGAAACAACAAGCTCGTCACAGGGCCCCAAACCAGCAGTTGTGAGTTGTTTGGCAAATACTGGTGTTGACCTGCCAAAAATAAATATGGAGCTTGAAAAGGGGTTCCATCAAGATGAGCTTCTCAGATTGCAAGGCGCCTCGTTCACATTCCGTTTGGGAGGGTAAGCTGGATTTGTTCCAGCTGGTTTCACAAACTTTTCTTGACTAGAAAATGTCATATGTGCGCCGTGTGAAACCAACCAAGCTTGTCTCATAGGATCAAGCTCTCCCTGCGACTTCCGAAGAAGGCCATAAAAAGGGCCAAAGAGGCGGCGGGTGGTGCAAGCTGCCAAAACAGATGGAAAAGCAGAAACAGTATCTAGTCGCCAAAAGACTGGCTGGTGGATCCTTGGTGCTCTCTTTCACGGCAGCGAGCGGCATGATGCCACTTGTTGGCTCTCCCCAAAAGATGAAACCCCATATTGTTGAATTCTTGAAAAGGCAGAGAAACTGTTGGGTTCTACCTTGGAACACAAACCGAACCCTGGCTGGGATCCGGGTTGTTGCCACTTCTCCAAGACTCAGGGGATCCTAGGCACAGCTTGCTGACGCCGCTGGAGATCGCCCAGCTGCTGTCGGGCCTGGGCTCTTTGTCGGTGGATGACTGGGAGAGTCACTCCGTTTGCACCCACGGCCTCTCCAAGGAGGGGACTCTGCGAAAGAAAGAACAAATACGCAGAGGGGTGTTGGGTTAGACGAATGGGGTCAAGAAACCCAATATAAAACTTGGTGGCTCCCAGCCATCCCCTTAGCCTTCTAGCTTTTTTGTGTTTAGGGTGTAACCCACTAAAAGTTAAACTGTTAGCGGGTGATATGAGGGCAGCCCAGAAAAAGAAAGAAAGAAAGAAAGAAAGAGGAATGCAAGCGATGGCACAGGGTTCCTAGATTTTGCCCTGAAGGGTGGTTTGATTAAAAAATCACCTGTTCTGGGGTCTCCTCCAAAATTATTCCATATTTACGCGTAGACACATATATGAAACGGACTCAGAAAATCATATTATTTGTGCGCCCCTTTGCATGGGTACAGCGGAACGACAGGATATCAAGGATATCTGCTCCGGCCCCCAAAAGCCCAGGGACTTGGTGGAGCGGAATCCGAAGGAAACCAGCGATTGTCTGGTTTCAAAGGTAAACCCATGAGTTTTTGGGAAACTATAAAGCGCTTGAGTAGATTCCATCCTCTAGATCCTGTTTTCCGGGTATGTCCCTTTGTTCAACTTTTTGGGCCATGGTGCCCCATGGCGTGAGCTGGAAAAGGGTTGGATTTGGGCATTTTGTCAGGAAACCATACCAGTGTTGCTGGCTGGGGCGCTCCCTAACATATGGCCATGCCTTGACCAAGGTTTACTATGCCTGCAACCCACAGCAACCCATACCTCAAAGAAGAAGGTTGGAAAATCGACTCTAGCGTCCACCATAACCCCGGGCGGGGGGGGGGGCGTTTGATCCGAACATTGGGGCGACGAGGGGCCGGGTCAACGCCGGTCCCGTTGTTTGCGGCAGGAGAGCCCTGTGGTGCAGTGGTTCTGGCAGGTGGTGCGTGGCTGGGCAAAGGAGGAGGACTCTTTGCGGCAAGGGCAGCTGAAAAAGAAGCAAACAGCCAGCAAAAAACAGAATCCATACGGTAATCATAGATTTGTTCTTGAAGGGTGGTTTCGAACATCACCTTCTGGTGGCCAATTCTACAGTGAGTGTCCTTCTTTCGTGATCTTTATTTGGGAAATGTCGGGAACTCTGTTCCCTAGACTTGGAAAGCTGCGTGTGTCAGTGTCTTTGTCACGTCTTGGGAAACTGCTTTGGTTGAACCTGTGGCGCTAAGTGTCTGGTCCTTGCCCTCCAAAGTTGGCCCTGCAGCCTATGGGGATGTCCCCCTATGAGGTTCCATGATTGTGTTTGGGAGGGCAATGATCAAGCTCAACAAGGGTTCCGGGTCAGCCAACTGAGATAACTTGAGGAGTGAATGCTCGAGTGGAGGGAGCCCCCAAACCACCCTGCCACCCACAGGCCACTCGCCCATCCATGTTGTCAGACACCACCACCCCTGCCAATATGTTGAAACACGGCTTTCCTGCATGTAGCAGTGGTCGAGCTTATCAAAGGTATGGAGTTCTTACGGTAGTTTTCAGCATGTTGGTGTCCAAACAAGCGCCGAACCAAATCGGACCTTACTACAAGGTCTCAGGAGTCTCTTGACCGTGGCACCTATGTCATAGAACTGCTTCCAACCCAACACACCACCCACAACTCCAGCATGCTTGGAGTGTTGGTCGATTTTGGTTGTGTCCAATGGAGTGTCTTTGGGGTGGTATGCGGTCCCTCCAGGGCAGTGGCAAAAATTGGGAGCAAAATAAGCCCCCGCCGATTGATATGTATTGCTGCCTCATATATATATATATATATACATATATATATATGATATATATATATATATATATGATATATATATATATATGTATAGAACAGATAATGGGCCATATGCTTAAAAGGTACACTGCCATGTCCATGTGAGAGGGAGACTCGCTAGTTGTCCCATGCCCTTTCGGGGAAGCAAATAGTTTTGACAGGTACCCTGCCGTATGGGATTTTGTCAAGGGACACCAAAGGGTGGGCTTCCCTTTGCTTTGTAAAACCCAAAAAATGGTAGGCTCAGCGTTCTTTTTTTTCCGGAGTTTGTTGCCCTTTTGGAGGCGGATTTGGAGGGAAATCAACCGGACACCCCACCATTGTTCTCGCCCCATTTTGACACGTGCCCAAATGATTGATTCCATGAAATGTGCCATGTCCTCTTGTTGGAACAAGCAATCTTGGCTGTGGTTCGTGTGGACATGGGGATCCGAAGGTTTCAGCCTGACCCATTTGGGTGAGGCTCAAAATTCAAGGGGGGTTACGCAGATTCTTGTCTTTGTTTCCATCCAAGGGGCCTAAAATTGGGGTCCACTTTTTTGAGCCACAGCCACATTATCGTCCGGATTCAAAACTGAAACCCCTGGGGTTCAACAAAAATAGGTGAAAACATGTAGTTGCGGTGCTTTTGACCCCGTCGTTTTTGACGAGTTTATCATCCAAAAGGACACTTACACGGTTGGGTAGGCTATGAATTTGTCCATTGAGGCAGTTTACAAAGGACTACCCTGATGGAGTGTAATGTTGGATAACGATTAATCAATAGGAAAAAAAGAAGGAAGAACAACCCAAGCAAGAAAGGGCAGGAGTTTGTATGTTTCGATTGCCCGCGCTTCTTTTTCTTCTTATTTTTTTCTGGGGGGTACCACCAACTACTTTTGACACCGTCCCACTCAAAGTGAACAGAAACAGGGGTTGTCAAATGATGCAGCGCCATCTCGGCGGATGTATTTGCTTGAAACGAATTGGGGGGGAACCGAATCGAAGTTCCAGGAGGCGATGCTGCCGCAGCTGCTGCAGTTTGTGACCGGCTCCGCTCGCGTGCCCGTGGGGGGCTTCAGCGAGCTCGCGCTCTGGCCATGGGAGATGGGAGAGGGGTTGGGTATGCGGGCATGGCTTTAGAACAGGGGAAACTGGGGAAAAAGGGGTGTTGGGCGGGGGGGTGGGGTGGGGGGTGGTTGGGGGGCGGGGGGGGTGGACAAAAAGCACAAGGAACAATGATGGTTTTCCTTTGGGGTCCCCTGTAAAACAATCCAAAACAGGGTATTTGTTTGACGAAAAGCTCGCATGTGTCGCTTTGGTTTGGTTGGGAAGCCCCTTCAAAATCGAAAAAGGTGTCCTCTTGTTTCCGCATGGACATCTACATGTTTGGTGTGGGTACAGTAAGCCGTTGGCGATGGTTTAAACATCATTTGTTGGGTTGCCAATCCTTCTGGGTGAGTTTCCTCTTGGTGTGCTGTGTACACCGTGGTTCTGGTGGTTGATGTTGAAGGGATTCCCCCTCCAAAGGAAAAAAGGTGGCACCGGTGTTTGGGTTTTCTGGCCAAAGCCGAAAGTCGTTCAAGCCGGTGGTGGTGGTGGTGGTGGTGGAGGTGGGCCAAGCGAATTTAAACATCAAAACTGGGACGGTGGTTTGGTTTGGCGGGGAGTTGGGGAGGGGGTTGTGGCAACAAAGCTGCAAAAGAGAAGCTTTTGCAGCAAAAGAGAAGCTGTTGCAAGAGACTGCCCACTCAGCTTTGCACCCCTGATGCATGAATCAATATATATATATATATATATATGTACACATAAAATTACCTTCATTCGCCCACCGGAAATGCGGGGGACCCATCAAAGCTAAGTGGGGATCCTGGGACTTGCCAACTCTGCTTCTCAGCGTGAGGCTGAGCCAATCCATCTGCCAATTGGGGTCAGAGGCCCTGTTGGCTCATTGTCTACTGTCCTTTTGGTGGAAAACCCTTGGAATCAACCAACAAAAGAGCAATTGTCCTTTTGAGGGCAATCGAGGCTGTCCCCTCGCACACGAAGCGCTGCTTCACCCGGTCAATGCCGCTGATTCAGCGTCTGACAAAAATATCAGAAGACGCGGCAATAGTTCTCGAATTACGAACAGCCAAGCGCCTCGAATTACGAACCCTGAGAGTCCCATCAACGGATTCCAAGTGCTGAATGCAAAGCTCTTGAAATCGGAGCATTGGAGCTTAGATGGTGTCTCAGGGCTCCTGAAAAGAAATCCCCATGTTGCCACCAGTTGAAAAACCTGGGGCTTTTTCAACGCCAAAATACAGTTGGAAACCGGCATTTACAAGTTCGCAATGTTGGGGTGTATAATGTAAGGATCCCTGTGTCTGCAAAACAACATGTCCATCCTCTCGTGGTTTCCTTCAGGCACAACAACAACATGTTAAAGGACGATTGGTTGTTCCCATACGTGACCCTAGAGGGCATGTTAGTCTCCTTTGGTGATCAGCTGGCCATATTTTTCCATGAATTCTTATTTAGGGATGGAAGCACATGTTGTAACCCTCCAGTTTGATTATCTTGGTTGACATTAAACCATTATATTTCTCTTCAAACATGTCGATCGTGTCAATTACAAACACCTCAGGAAACTTGTTCAGGTCCTCAATTGCCAAGTGTCTATGGGAAAAGGGGTCACCGGCCTTTCAACGAAGAACGCGTGCTTATGGCAAACAGAGGTCATGGCGCCATTATTGAGTGCTGGGAAAAGCAAAGCCCGTCGACGCCACAAGGCAACCAGCCAGTTTTGTGGCAGGTGAGATAGGAAGGCAGGCTTACTATTTGATCAGATTGGAAACCTCAAGCTGACAAATGATCCCATTAGGAAGGGCAGGAAGATTCTAGCGGACACTTGAGGCCTATTGGTGTGTCAAAGAAAAGGCGGCCCAAACGCGGCGGCGTTCCTTTTGGCCTCACTTTAAACCAACAAGATATCCTCAAAACACGCGCGTCCGCGCGCCCCCTGGACATGGCAATCTGCCGGTCGGCCCGCAGGCCTGCATAGCGAAAGGGGTCCTCGAGCATGTTCTGCATTAACACACCATTCAAAAACCCAGAAGGACTGGCACAAGGATGATATAGTTTAAACCACCCCCAAGAGCTTACCCAGACCAAGGCCGGACGTCTCAAACCACCCAAAAACCGTCCCCCAGATGTTTCGTGGATTTCCATGGGGCAAACGCGAGAACAAGCGCGTCGCCCGCGCGCCATCAATCGCCCACGAGGTGGGTTTCAATGGCGCGAAGCACGCCTTCACCCTGGCGGGGGCGAGTCACTTGTCGCCGCAGGCGCTGCCGGTGGCCCACACCTGCATCTGCCCCTCGGGTTTTGGATGGTCCCAAAACGGGGGGCCGGGGGGTGAATTGGGAGGGGGGGAGGAAACTGGGAAAAGCGGCAGGGGGAAACATGTTTGGCGGGAAATTGGGGGGATACGCAAATCTGGGAAGAAGTGGGGGAAACAAAGAAAGCACTAGGGTAAAGCGGCGGGAAAACGAAAACTGAGAACATGCGGAAATTCATGGTGGAAAACACAGAGAAACGAGAGAGTGAGTGAGAGAGGGAGGGAATTTGAAGTGGGGTATGGGGGTAGTTGAATTTGTGTTTGTTGTTTTTTCTTGTTGAGTTGTGTTGTTCCTTTGTCATGATGTGGTTTTGGGGAAGGGATAATGTTGCTGTTGCTTGGTGTGTTCTAAGGCTATCCCCGGTGAATAAGCACGAGGTGTTCCTGGACCCTCAAACGAGGGTAGTTTGAGGGTCCAGGTTGTGATATGAGCAACAATAAATGATCACTGTGCCGCTACTTCTGTAAAGGGGATGCCATGCGGCACACTTATAAAAGCTACCAGGAGAAAATGAGGGTGGCCAAAAGACAAAGGGTCGTTGGGGGGAGCTTCCTCACGAGATCGTGCGTGTGCAGACCTTTGCTTTTTGAGACGGGCTTGTGTCTTTTTGAAGGTACCCTTGTATGGTATTGGTTTCAAGGGTGGCCACATTGTAAAACACGCATTTCGGGTTTCCTCGAGTTGAGACACACCTCCCCTGGGAAAAGGGATTTAGAGGATGGATTCCACTCTTTCAACATGGGTCATGGTACACGCCCAGGTGGCATCCTCAACAGCAAACCCCCGAACCCCCTAGCTTAGCCCCGAGCTGCAAACTCCGGAGCTTAACTCCGGATGGACCAAGTTTGGGGCCTTATCCAACAAAGTTATAGTTTAGGGTAGACCACATATGACGCTGAATCCGAAAGTCTTATTTTGGTGTACCCCAGATGTGGGCCAAGGTTAGATACCACATATACAAGGGGTATTGCCGCCTCAAAAGCCATGCTTCGAGGCACGTTGGACATGCCTCCCTACACGGACTTCGAGACGATGCGCCACAAGATGACGCAGATGCTGCGGCTGGGCCGTGCGCATTTCGACGAGGGCGCTGGACAAGCTGGACAGGAGTGAGCCTGGACTGGCCGGAAGCAAAGCGACCGGAAACTTGACCCTTTGGGTTTGCCCCATGGTTTTCCCAGTTGGTACCCCTTTTTTGGGTGGTTGAAGGGAAGAGAAGAAAATCCAGCAAGTTTGGAGGCTTCTCTACTTTGACACAAACCCAATTGACTAGTTGGTTTTCCCAGCTGGCAATCCTTCTAAGTCACGGCCCCTGACCAACGCTGAAATCAAGGGGACGCCAAGTGGGTTCTATTCGGGGTCTGAAGGCTTGTACCAAAGCATGTTCTCATGCGTCAGCATCCGAAAGCGCTTTTGTTAGAGCCCAGAAGGCAACAATCAAGGGCCTCCATCCTGCAAGGTATGCCCCGAGGCACCTGAAGGGACTGGTGACCCTATTGCAGCAGCAAGTTCATCGGTGGTCAGCATTTGGTCAAATGGAGCGTGCTCAGCAACGGCACAGGGCAAGACTTGAGGATGTTTTTCTTGATATGATGCGTTTGAGCAGACGGGCATGGGGCCAATGGCAAGGATATCTACTGGTCATGTTCATTGATCGTCCCAGGCATCTATTTGCTTGATTGCTATTGGGTTGGATCTTTGGACTTTAACTTGGTTGAAACAAAGTTGTTTTCCACAACCCCCCCCCCCGAAAAAAAAGTTAAGTCCACTTGTTGCAGTCGTTGCAGCAACCAAGTTTGGGCAAATCACGATGTCGACCTAGGGGGCTATGAAGGTTCCACACCCACGAATTCGAAGCAATTAACCTAGGCCTTCAGTAGGGCCTCGTGCTTGACAATATTTTTTGCCATTGAACCCCACATTGCTTCATCCGGCTAGACCATTCAGGGGGTCTCCTCTGATGATTATTTCGTGATTATCTTAGGGTTGACGAAATATGCAAGAGAATTCGGTTCAGGCTAAGGTACACCAACCTGAGTGTTTTTTGTTCATGGTACCCAGGTTCAACTGGAAGACCATTTTGTGTGGGGTCCAATTCCTGTTCGGAGGCATGCTTTATGGAACCCAGTGCTTGGGTGGCCCTTTCACCACGACGCGTGTTGTTTTGAGAGTACTTGCATGTTCGGCCAACTTAGCAGGTGGTTAGACACCTGGGATATAACCCACGGCAAAAAAAGTCAAGTTTACTTCTGGGGACTTAGAAGCAGTCAATACCCTAGGTTACCAGCAGCTTACTTGGTCAAACAGCCAGCAAGTTCACAGGGAATTCCTCATTCTGGCACACCCAGATTAGGGCGGGTACGGAATCTTTGCGCTTTGCTTTTGGACAGAGCGATGCCCGGGAGACGAAGGAGTTTGACACTTCGACCCGGCATTGTCCCAGTGCCAGCATCCATATCCCGAAGCGCACAACTGGTTTCGCGGAGAGAGCCCCTTTCGCAGCACAGAGCCCCATGAACCCGACATGCCGAGGAGTATTCCATTCATATTAAAAAGGAATCAACCGTGTGGGGAATAGGCCAAGCGAAGCACATCACTTTATGTTCTTTTATGCACAGGTCCCTTGGTAAGAATGCACCAAGAAACACTTGGCTTCTGGATTCGGTTCAGAAGGGAAGACAACAAAGCATCCCGTACTCATCCGGGGCACATAGTCAGAACCACTCCGGGAGCTCATGTGTCCTGATTAAACCCTTCCTGTCTGTAGGTTGTTTGTTTTGTTGAAACCTATGCCTTAGGTTTTCGCGGCCCGAATCGGACCCTTAGACACATGTCGCAACTACCACATCTGCCAGATGTGCTCAGATCGACGTCTCTCTGAAATCGTGTGAAATGGTGGCTAAATTGCTGGGAGACCAAAGCCCGGGACCTGAACGGCGATAAAAAAAGGCCATCTTCTACGAGGCTATACCTGGCCTAAGGCACGAAAGAAATCCGTGGCGTTCAAGAGAAGCCCGCAGGCTCGACAACTCCCCAACTTGGTTTCCCTTTCTTGACAACAGTAGATTAAGTTTACAGTGCCTCACTTCCTGAGTTCATGAACTTTAAACTTTTTGGAAAGACCATTTTAGTGGTTAATATAAAGTTTGGACTTTTTTTGGGCCATCCACTCGGCCAGTGAGGTTTACAGTGCCCTTTGGATTTTCCATTTCGTACTTTGGAAAGCATGGACTCTCGAAGAGTCGGGCCAGTCCATCCTAGACCACTTGTACGTTCAAAGTTCACCCGAAAGTGTGGTTATATGAATATTATTTCTGAAAATATATGTTTAAGCTGTGTCGAAATATGGAGAGTGTCAATTGTATCGGTTTTTTTTTCCCCGCTTAAAGGTGTTTTTCATTATTTCTGCTTAGAAATGCAATAGCATCGCAAGTCACTGGGAGGGACGCACCGGTGCAGGGCACAGGCGGCAAAAAGGAAACGGAGCTGCGCTGGACCATTGCGGAAAATTGCCGGAGCTTTGAGCGGAGCTTGGTGCAGGCAATTGGCGACAGTCTCTTGCAATGGTCCCCTGGAGTTTGGCGTGGAATAGGTTTGGGCAAAGGCCCCGTTTTAAACAGTTTAAGTACCTGCTGTTTGAACAATCGGTTTGTGGTTTCCCTCCAAATGAGCAGAGTTTGTTCTTTGCCAAGTATTCGCTTAGTATTCGAGGGAAACTCCTTTTACGCTGCGTAGGCACCGTGTGGGCAATTTTGGTGGGGGGAAGCGAGTAGGCTGTTCAAGTACAGCCTGCGTAGGCAGGTTCGCGTAGGCGTGTTTTACCTTATATACAAGCTCGGCTGCCGGTGTATTAGGCCGATACACCAAAGATACCTCGCTCCGGACCCTTGTGCCTCGATTTCTCAGGCGTTTCAGAAGGCCCCAAGGACAAGACTTGGAAAGGTGACAATCTGAACCTGGGTTTGGTTGTTCATAGCTTTGCCCAACCCTGAGACCCAAAGTGAAATGGTGAGGTCAAGTCGCTGGCACCAAGCTTCGCACACAAAGCTTTGCTGATCCAATGCAATCGCATGGTCGGGAGGGGGCGAAGTCGATGCCTAGCGATCAGCCACTTGGCTGTAGAAATGGTTTACCGCAATATGGCAACATGACAAATGGAAACAAAGACGGACACCCAAAATAGCCCGAGCTCTGAAAAACAACTAGCTACACCCACTTTTCGTCTTGATTCTTGTTTGGAAGCCACGGTCCTTTGGCCACACCTCCTGCCTCTGCGCGGGCGCCGCTTGCTGTCTGCAAGCCCGGGCAGGCGCCGCTTGTCCACCCCGTTTCACAGGCACAGCGGAAAACGTCGGCCAGGCTGCTCGCTTTGCTTCATGGACTTGGCGATGAGTGAAGCCACAGATTTGCCCCGAGGACCTTTCACGGACATGGGTTTGTCGCATGAGATGTCCCTTGACAAAAACCTATGTGCAAAATTGAAAATTGAGGCAACTGTACATCTGTTTTAGGTCCCCAAGCACCAGAAGTTCCTTGAACATCAGCGACCGACCAAAAGGGTGCCCTTATTTTCCGCATGGCCACGGGAGATGTGTGTGGGGCGGGAGAGCGGGGGTGAAATAAGTTGAGTAGGTTTCAACAGGAAGGGGCGTCTGAGATAGTATCCAAAACTCACCTGGTTCCCTCCAAAAAAGCCACGGGTTGCGAGGAAACCATGGGAGGGGAGGGGGCGAATTAGGGGTTGGAATTCTATGATGCGAGCGTGCAAAGCATAGAACACCGGCTCAATTGGATTTCCTGTCCATCTGAATAGAAAAGCAACGGAGCTAGCCATTCCAGATAGCCCTCATGCAACGCAAGTGGACAAAAATGTGCCTCAGGCGATATCCGACATGTGGCTTGAACACTTGCCTTCAGGGACTTGACATATTGATCGAAAGCTCTGACCCTTGCATGGGCATTCGAGATACTACAAGACATATATATCACGCTGTTAGAAGCTCCGGTGTTTTTCTTGTGTGAATGCTGCCTTCGCTGTGTAAGGCTGCCTAGGGACCCCGTTTTCAGGGAGACCCCCGCCCCTGCCGGCAAATCCTGTAGGCAAGTGGGGCTTGGAAGTCGGATTCATTCCTTGTGTGTGGTGAGCAACCCTTGGTCTGCCTATGGCGAGCTCTTGGGTCGCTTTTTTCCCTGGGTCTGAAATGGAACGTGGGATTTGCTGATTGAACCTGGCGAAAGTCGAGTGCGTCCCAAAGTAACCTGGCGAAAGTCGAGTGCGTCCCAAAGGAAGAAAGTCCCACTCGAAAAGGGCACCGAAGCCTTCCAAGAGATATGCAGCATGCAGTATGTGGCTGTATCTTATATGGCATTGTATCACGTAAGCGTACCTTGCGCAGATCAACGATTCATGCAAGCTACAGATGATATAGTGTTATACTATAACATACTATATACAGCCATGTGTCTGGGTGTTTATTCTTAGTCATTCATGCCATCAGCAATGTATTCACTTAGTTGAGCTCCATGCTGTTTGCTCCGTGCAGGCCGCAGCAAACTGAGCCGCGATCTGTTCAGATCTGAGCCACAGGAGCAAATCCATGTCGGCGTTTTTATGTGTTTCTGTGGTTGTTTCGGTTTTTCGGGCATGTGTATTATCTTTTGTTTTGTGTTTGGCTCATGCCAGGGGCTGATTGCGACGAATAGTCCATGTTGGTTGCTGGTAGCAGCTTGGGAAGTTTGGGTGGAACTGTTCAAATGAAGTCAACTTAGCATGTTCTTTGGCTGAAAGCCTGACATTAGTCTTCAACTGTGAGATCTCCGCTGAGTTTCAGTGTCGCACCTTGTCTCACATACTCGTAAGAAAAGGCGCCCCGGAGCCAGGCTCCTTGGACCTGTTAGGCCGATGGGCTCTCTCGTTCACTTCCGACAGGGAGATGTGGCTATGAGCTTGAAGAGGTGGAACCCCTTAAAAGTGGCTGGTGGACATAAATCCTCTAAATGATGTCCAACCAAGATTAAATAAATATCCATGCCCATGTAAATTCTGATCTTCGATTGCAACCCCCTCGCACGAAAGAAGAAGACGAAGACTTGAGAGTTTTTGACCTTCCAGATTCTGATTGGAAGGTTCTGCTTGATTGGAATGTCCTTCGCGCGACATGAGCGAATT